GTGCTATCACCATTCTCAGGCTTTGGTGATTCGGTATCTTTGCTGGGACCACAATGACATGCTTGTTTCTTTGGTATCGCGGCCGTGACTCTGCCGCAAGAACATGGGCGAGAAGCCGGATGAGGACATGTACTAAGAGGTCTACCCGGCTTCCTCACAGGTACCATTAGTCGCTCGTTTGCGTGTGTACATTTAGTAGAGCGATGACCACGAATACAAGGCTCGCTACAAGTCCAGAGTTAGCAAAGTCTAACCAACAGACCGACGGCAGTTGACTGCGCCAGGATTAATCGTACCAGGCCATTTTTATTCCATTGATGAGAGGCATGGTGAGACTGTCGTCGGAAACGTATGTACGACGGATGACAGAGGTGGAGCAAGACGGATAGTGGTAGAGATGGTGGCCGGCTCACAGCCGTAACAATTGCCTACAAATGCGCAAGTCTCGCAAGAGTCGACATGAGAGGGAGAGTGTGTGGAAGAAGCGGCGTGGATTACTCGGCGACACTCGAGGACTCGGGATTTGCGTCGCAAACGACGGGATACAGAAGGCGGGTTTCCAAAGTTCACGGCGGCTGTGCTATATGAAAGTGTCGTACTAGGACTCGATGAAAATGGTAGCTTGTGGCCGATGTAAGTGGCTGCTATAGAATGCGAGATTGGTGTGAAATGGCATGTATCGTCGTCGTTGTTGTCGTGTAAGAAGAAGATGTAACAAAGCAAAACGGAGGATGGTTCATTATTCAGGGACCCAACCTTTCCCCTTCCCTTGTCAGCAGCCGGCGGACGACCTGCCTGCAAATGTTCGTCGCGCCCCCCACCATGCGGGGGCTGCAGCGGGCAAGAAACGCCCTAAAGAGCCCAAAGGGTGTCTAATCCCAGCAAGGCACTTGGTTGGCAAGATCACTGTGACGCTAACGACAGACTTGGCTCTCGGTTCTGGCGCGCATCAATTTTGGTGTTCGGTGCCCGCTCAGCTAAGATCGGCTCGGAATAGTAGACGTTGAAAGTCATGCCATGTTGAAGATGGTTCCGTGATAAGATAAAAATTATTCCGAGGACATGTTAATATGAAAACGAATGTAATAGAGTGTATCACCAGGATTTGAAGTTCTCCATGACGTTGTTGATTCAATATTACCTACAAGCCAAGCCCAACATGTTCCCCCCGGCTCAGGCCCGTTCCTCTAATTCAGCCGCCGCCGATACGGAGCACTGTATAGCCGGAGACCCGGCGGTTCTCTTCCGTGCAACGTCCGAAAGAGCATATTTGACAATTCAACGACTCTAATCAAAGTGAAACATGTTTAAATATAAATACAAGGTCTGTTCCCTCCCAATAATAGTGAGAAAGAAAAAATCGACTTTACCGCATTTCAATCACTCATGTCACTTTTCTCTTCCCTCTCCACTATCTTGTGTCCGTATCCATCAGCCAACCCGGCCGAGTGAGCAAGTTTCCATTGGCTCAAAGGCCCCGGCCACCTTCAACACCAACACCACCATAAAGCTCAAGCGCTCAGCTTTCTCCTGTCGACTGTTTTTACCTCATACGTATGAATTGCTTTCCGCCATATCAATATTTGTGACGTAACATGGTTCGGACCTCGACAAAGTTGACAGGAGTTAGAGGTACAGTCCATCCTAATAGCATAGACGCATAGCTCATCACAAACTCATCTGCCAACGACAATGTTGCAATTATCAGCATGTGCTTTCCACATCTACGTTACATTGTGCCTCTGTTCTAGGCTCATCTCCCGTGGGATCCTCGTCTAGTGTCTGGTCTCATGTCATGCTCTGCACATTCTTGGCGTTCCGGCCTAGATATTGGATCCAACTCAACTGATCTTCAAATGTCCAGCGGTCGCACACAAGCTAGAGATCGCATCCTACTCTTTGGTCCGCCTTGGTCCCACGCCGTTGGATGGCGCCATCTTGCAGACGGAACGGTACGTCTAATCCATTACAAATTGGTATCATTGAACTTGGCCTATCTCTATGCGCCCTTGTCCGAGTCGTCTGAATCAGCAAACATATCCACTGCTCGCATCCGTCTTCGAGGCTGTCCGGCTTGAGACGGTTCTTCTTTGGTCTTGTTCTCAGTGCCGATTGTAGGTTGATCTGTAGGCGCTGGGGGCAACTCATCCCCCACAGCCTCATCTTCATCCATTGGTTCTCCAACCACATCGTCTTCGTCGATAGGCTCTCCCTCGATGTCATCCTCGTCAATTGGTTCTCCCTCGATATCGTCCTCTTCGATCGGCTCTCCAATAACATCATCCTCAACAATCGCCTCGCCCTGAACGTCATCATCCTCCTCCTCCTCCTCCTCGACGGTCGAAACCGGTAGTGCACGTAATTGTCCATCCTCCACCGTCTTCCATTTGCCCTTCTTCTCTTCGCTATCCTCCTTCTCAATGGCAACCAGCGACGGCGGGTTCTCAAAACTTCGAACAAATAGTTCCTGGCTCTCAACAGGGAAGACGCACCATCCCTCCCAGAGATTCAGAACAAGGTGAATGCTACGCTTCCACTTCTCTGCACGTAAACGTCCCCACTTGAGTCGCTCCGCCATGAGGCCCAGTGTCTCGAACGTCTTCCGGTCTTTCAGTGATGTCTCAAATAGCTGCCGAAAACGCCAGGCGTGCCGCAAGCCGCTTGTCGATGAAGACGACAGTATATCACTGACGACATACAATCCCACCAGACTAGCACCACTGATATCGGGGCCCTCGTTGCTTGGCGCCTCTTCGGGGGCGCTTGTTTGTAATTCTTTACTCTCGGACTTCTTGTCAGGGTTTGCGCCAGTAAGAGCAAATGGCTTCTCAACATTGAATGTGATCATCGCCACGACCTCGTCAACTCCTCGACTAGCATGGGTAATTGCGAAACTCGTCACTCTCGCGACATCGCCCTTTCTTAACCTCGACATCGACGTCGGTAACCGTGCAAGGAGATGTGTTAGCTTGGCTTTCTCCAGCGGGTTGAGGAACGCCTTTTCGGACTCCGCATCTGGGTTTTCTCTCTTATTGTCATCCTCAAAATCCTCGTCGTCCGATGAGTTGTACTCTGAGTCCGACACAAATTCATCCAGCTTGGTCGTGTACTCAAACTTGAGGTTCTTCTCTGGGGCCTTCCATGCATGCGAACCATCAAAAAGGGGGACGTATTTCCCCTTTTGTCGTGATTGCTGTGAACCTGTAATGACCTCCCAAAGTCTCCATCGGTACCATATACCGCCTTGACTTCTTGCATCCCATATCCATGCCCATTTTTCTTCCCTTTGCACCTCAGGTCGTGACATTAGCAGCGCCTCGAATTCTGGGCCATGGGCAAGAACTCCCTCGATAACCTTGCTAATTAGTTGGATAATTTTTACATCAGTGGGCGGTTTGACCGGCACATGTAACAGGGCCGACCGATTAATGCCTGCGCCAGGAGGTCCATAAGAGGTTGGGGGCGCAAATCTGCTATTGAATCCATGCTGCGTGTGCGGGTTTTGTGGTCCTGATGGTTGCTCAACAGGCTTCGCACCAAAGGGATGTGATGTCGCTGAAGAGCCTATATTTGGCAATGCAGCCGAACTCGCAACGGCTGATGAAAGATGGCGATGGAGAGATAAGTAATATCCATAACCTAGATATCGGTTCTGTAGCGCATTGACGGCCGCATCGATCTCGTTCGCAGGTGTTTCCTGGGACAATGTGACAATCGAAACGGCATGCTTTCTTTCCGAGTTCCCAGAGCTGCTCGAAGGTGTGATTTTGACATTCTCGACTGTCAGATTGTCTGGGATCAGGGCCTTGATCGTGGCTGGGGAAGTTCCTGGAGGAATGTTCGACAGTCGCAGTGTAGGTTTCGCTATAGCCTTCTCTTCTGCCCTATCCGTCACGCCGTCCATATCTTCATCATCGCTTGTATTGAAAGCTCTCGCTGCTGGGATCGGCCCTCCTCCACTGGCTCCCTCATCATAGCCCAGGACTCCCTTATCCCGCGATGGCCGCGCAAAGTCCTGGAAAGATCGCTTTTTCGCGAACGATGATGGCGGAGGTCCCAAGCTTCCTGGTCCGCTCTTCAGTCCCGATGTCCCAAAATGTCGTCTTCCTGGTCCCGAGGGTGGTGGCTGGCCTCCAAATCCATGTCGCGGGCGTGGAGGTGCTGAAGAGCTGGGTGCATTGTGTCCATCGTAGTCATCATCGCGGTCGAAACTTTTGACGAATTCATTATATACCGCGGCGGTTTCTGCTTCTTCTCGTAGTCGCTTGGCTTCAGCTTCTGCCTTTTGTTTCTCGAAAGCGGACTGCTTGGTCGGTTTTTGCAGCTTGGCTTCCAAGCTTGGGAATTCGGATACGCCCTTTCCGGAGGACATTTTCGGTTTCGATTTGTAGTTTGTTGATTCAGTGCATCTCTGTTGTCGTACGCGAAGTATACCCAGTCTCCATCGAGATACAGACCGTTGAAAGAAAGACTGAACACAATGTTGATTGGAGTTATGGTTAGCTGTCGCAATACCTAGTCACAGCGCGTCCCCGAAGCTCCAGTTCAGTGGGACTCGTCACTGTGAGCCTTATCGCTTACGATGTGCTAGTTTTAATGGGGTATAACGCAATTCGGTATTTCGAGGTCAACTACCCTATGGTTCCATAAGTGAGCTGCAGTTTCGGCACCTATCGACTGTAGTTTCGGGCTGAAGACATTTGCTTGATATGACCAAGAAGGGGAGATGCAGCTTGATGAAATGTTTTTGCGTTGTAGCGAGTCTCCCGTGAAAGTGGCTTCTAAAATCAGAGAAAGATTAACATATAACGGAGGTAATAATCTTGACAAAAGCGATAGAAGGCTCTTAATGTAAGCTGTTAGGACGAAACTCTGCACCCTAAAACAAACCAAGTGGGACGATGAAGTATAATCACTGCAAATGCTCAAAATAGGCTAACCAGCTTCTCATATCTTGTTTAAGCGTGTCTTGGGCCATTTTCTCGACAATGTGTGTTCTGCCGCTATCGGCATCACGTGATACCCTTTAGAGGGGGAAAGATTTGAACTGAAGCTGGAGAATATTATTCGGAGTGGTGACTGAAGCATACTACAATCTTCAGTTCACTTCAATATCTACAATTCAAGATGTCGAACCCGGACCAATCACCATGCCGAATTCTAGTAATGGCCTCTGGTTTTGGCTCTAACTTCCAGGCTCTCATTGATGCGATATCTACCGGTTCACTCCCAAATAGTCGTATCATTTCTCTCATTGTGAACCGACGGAACGCACACGCAACTGTCCGAGCCGAGAAAGCTGGTACGAGCCCTCTCACAAAATCTTATACGTCGTGCTAGTCCATACGACTTTCATGTGTATATACTAACTCGCAACAAGGCATTCCTTGGCAATACTTTAACTTGATCTCTCACGGATTCTTGGAGAAGGGAGAAACCGACGAGCAGAAAGTGACTGAAGGTCGTCGGAAATATGACGCTGCGTTGGCCGAAAAGATTCTCTCAGCCGACGAGAAGCCTGAGCTTATTGTTCTCGCTGGTTGGATGCACGTCTTCTCAACTGCTTTCCTGGACCCTATCCAGAAAGCTGGTCTGAACGTCATTAACTTGCACCCGTGAGTATAATGAATTACGTCTTTGCAAATTACCGGATCATTAACAAAACCACACAGTGCTCTACCAGGAGAGTTTGACGGAGCCAATGCGATCGAGCGAGCTTATGATGAGTTCAAGGCTGGTCGACTAACACGCTCAGGCATCATGGCCCACTACGTGATCGCTGAAGTAGACAGGGGTACTCCTATCCTGGTCAAGGAAATTGAGTGGAAGGGAGAGGACCTAGAACAGTATAAGGAGAAGGTACACTCTCATGAGCACGAGTTGATCGTCAATGCGACTGCAAAGGTGGCACAGGAGACAGTCAAGAACAGAAGGTCATAAAAAGGAAACGACATAAATACTGCTATAGCAGCACTGCACAATGACTATGAACGATGTGAGATGATACAAACTTCATATACAAAACTCATACGGAACATGAGATGAGAGGAAGCTCGTCTCCATTAAGAGCAGTTCTATATCGCCATAGGGGTGACTAAAAAGCTACTCTCGTATGTAGGTTTGTTGGTTTGGCACAACCGGGAATAGAGTCGTGGAACCAAAGAACGAGAGAGCATTCCTTAGCTCAACCCTTCATTATACCCCCTTACAGAATAAAACTCAAATCTATCTCTCCCTGTTCCATATAAAATCTCATCCCTGACATGTGAAGTCATGTTAAAGCCGGCGTTGACTGAAACATAGCCTGTCGGATATTTATTAGCCCGCTGTCCATACCAACTCAACTTGTAAGTGGTGTTATGGTTGTAAGCTTTTCCCCTTTCAAGTCAGGCCATGCATGTCGCTTCTTCACTTTCTCAAACATCCGATCTTTACAAAACATGATTTCTTAAACTGCTACAAACGAACGCTTCATCTAAATCCAATCCATATGCAGCTTACGCCCCAAGACCCTGATGTTCTATCATAGCTTGGCCTTCGTCTCTCCAATAAACGCCCGACCCTTCTCAAGCTCATCACACAGCACCAAGGGCCGTCCACCGCGCGATCCGTCCTCAGTTATTAAACCTGTGTACACTCCGTTCGTCTCTCTTCCGACTCCATCGTTTTGTATCTCTCTCCATCGCCACTTCTCGCCAAGCTTACCACCATGGCCTTGCATAACATCCACGATCTTCTCGCCCAAGTTGGGTAGGAACTTGAATCCATGTCCGCTGTCGCCTGTTGCAACAAAAAGTCCCTTCCAGCCCGGGTGGTAGTCAATCAGCCACTCGCCGTCTCGTGTATCGGAATACCAGCAGATTCGAGCCTCCTTCCATGGTCGGGTTTCTAGGCCACGTATAGGACACAGGTCCGTGAGCGCGCGGCGTAGATCTTTGTCGGCCTCGGCGGTTAAAGGGTTCGAGGAATCGTTGCGAGAGGTGTAGGGTTGGGATGCGAGGAAGGGTTCCCGCTTATCGTTGGGAGAAGGAGGAAGAGCGTTGTTAATCTTGACCGGGTTAATGTATCCGAATGTGTGGCGGGCGGCCTTGAGGACGTTATTTCGAGGGGGGATGAGGAAGAGGCCGGTGCTGAGGTTCAACACTACAGGGAAGTTGTCGAGTCGCTTCTGCTCTTCTGGTGTGATGTCCATATACGCGACTGCATGGCCAGTAGCCTCTGTTCTTCCTCGAAGGTCAACGAGCGAGCCGGACCAAGCACCAGCAGCTACCATGACCACATCGGCCTTGAGAACCTCTGAGTCGCTCAATTTCGCACCAATGACTCGGTCGCCCTCTGTCACGAGCTCTGTCACTTTGCCGTTGACGAACTGGATACGTCCTGTGGCCTGAGCCTGCTTATAGAGCCACTTCATACCCTCTCCGGCATCAGCCCAGCCAGAGTTGCCATTGAGGTAGCCCCAGTCTCCGGGATAGCCGTCTGTGCCGAGGAACTCTTGGAGAGCCTTGGTACTCTCCAGCTTTTGGATCTTATCCACAGGCAGACCAGTCTGCTTAGCGATCGACTCGACATTCTTGGCGCTCTCCTTGGTATAGTCCATGCCAGACTTCTTGAGCTTGAAGTCTTTGGGGGTTTCGCTAGCGCAGAGGACAAAGCCCGACTCGGAATATCGTCCCTGTCCACCGACCTCATGGTCACCCTGCTTTCGCCATTCCTTCTGCGCCTCGGCGGCAAGCGCGGCATAGTAAGGGTCCGAGTAGTCGGCTCGTACAATTCGAGACGAGTCTACACTGGCAGCATCTTCTGGAGGAAACTGTCCTGCACAGTCGTCGATGACAGTAATCGAGGTGTTGGAGTAGTGTGGTCGTTTGGCCAAAGCCCAGGCGGTGCCGAGCCCAAAGACTCCAGAGCCAACGATAAGGATAGAAGAGGGAGCGCCAGCCATTGTGACAGACAGAGATGATAGACGGTCGAGGAGAAGACAAGAAAGGCTTCCTACGAGGCACGATCACTTATCTGCCACTGTCAACAAAAGAAAGTTCACATGGGCCGATGAAATGCGAAGACTTTTCCCCGTTCCCACACCGATCACGGCGTTGTCCGAGTAGGAGAGCGTCGCAAACGACACTAGAACGGGGCCAAAAATCGGCTGATAAGTCTTTGGCGCTGCCGAGAATCGGGGCTAGTTTGCTGATTGACTACGAGAATGCCATTATTGGCTGGGCACGTGAGTGGATAATCATGCATCATCGACGCACGCGAGCTTCACACACAAAATGTCAAAAAAGACTTCAAACTTCGGAGAACTTAAAACTTTATTTATATCTCACTACTGAGAAAAAGCTGCACACTCTGGAGAATGCATCTCGCAGATGTTGGTTCAAGTTCATGGCAACCATGTGATTGTCTTGACCACCAGCAGAGATGCTGGGGTATGCTCTCCATGTTTTCACGAACTCGTTACCAAGTTCATGTTGTTTTTTTACTGAACCCTCAAAAGGCTCACTTGGGCAACTGTTCGACTTTGTTTCCTCAGCACCCTCTCTCAACTCAACGCGTCCCTCAGGAATATTAGAAGCGCTCAAATCAACTGAGCGCGTGCGCCACAGTACTGGCGCGAGCAATCTATGATGTGTCGCGGGATGAGTAGTCTTTGCTTTTCCCCAGAACCGAAATCCCTCGTAAATAATCCCCTTCCTAACCGCCCCTGCCAACGCCATTGCAATGCAGAAATTCAAAATGGTACAAACGCAAATTCCTGGCCTCCAGCCTGGGCATCAAGACCAGTTGGAAGACAGAGAACATGAAAGCAATCGTGGTATCATGACGGGTTGTCTAATCATACACGTCGATAAGGTGACATTGTAGTGTCGGATGTAAGATGACAAAGAGTCAAGTGGCACCTTAGACTTTGCGGAAATCTGATGATGGTTGTTAGTATCGATGCGACCAAAGAAACAGTGAATAAAGACAAACCTTGCAACACAGGGTAGATCATCTCGAAGGCCTGGTAGATTTCCTCGCGGACCTTGGCACCAGTCAAGACGATCTTGCCACTGACGAAGATGAGAAGCACGATCTTGGGCTTGATCATGCGGTAGATGAGACCGGGGAACAACTCGGGTTCATAAGAACTGAAATTGTGATGGCGAGATGCCAAACCCTCAAGTCGGATAGGGAACTTGATATCGCAAGAGCCGACAATGTTCTGAATCTTGAAGTCGGTGAACTTGGCATTGAATCCAAGCTTCTGAATAATACGAGCGTACTTTCTTGAAGCGAGCTTCGAATCGTCTTCAGACTTAGCACCAGTGACGACCATCTTGCCGGAAGCGAAGATCAGAGCGGTGGTCTTGGGCTCGCGGATTCGCATGATGACAGCGGCGAAACGCTTTTTCCTGTTAGCAACGTGTTTCTTACTCGGTATGCACGTCAGGTCTGTAGTACCTTAGGGTTGTACTCTGCGTTACGAGCGTGCAGAGCAATAGTCTTGAGGTCCAAGCGGCAGTCCAAGTTCACTGTAGCCACGATGTTCCTTTAAAGTTTGCCAGATAAGCCTCGCTGAGCATAAAAAGGTCACTCAGGAGGATACATACTGTAGAGTGGGAGTAATTCCACTAGGTCCTTGAGTAGCAGCAGGCGTCGCGACAGGCGTTGCGGGTGCCACCCCATTGCCATTTGCCGCCTGCTGGCCATTGAGGGCAGGTCGCTGAGCAGCGTCACCGGTGCCGGCGGGCGGAGGTGTCAGCTCGTTGGTAGCTCCGGGGAACGATAACGATCCTGGCGCCGTGAACGCCTTGGCTTGCGCCGCGTTCGATGGGTGTGTCTGGATGCCTTCCATGATTGGAGTCGGTATCGAGATGTGTCAACGGTTATGAAAAATCGCTGAACAGATCTAGAGCAGGACCCAAGTTAGCACCGCGCATCAACGAAAAGAGCGTGCATCCTACCCTGGAAGGTAGATGCGATGGTGATGATGCAACGGGGTAACAGAAGTGCAGCGCCGTTGTGTTGTTGCGAGAGTGAAGTTGGAAAAAGGGAGGAGAAACAGGCCTTTTATAGGCGGGGGTAGCGGGGCTGTGCAATGAATCAGAGGGACCACCTACCAATCGCGGGAGAGAAACAAGTGAATGTGTCCCCTACAAAGAAACTGGCCCAGCAAAGTTTTGTTCTTTAAAAAAGCGACGAATGCAAAGATTCGATGCGGAACGATATGGAAGATGGTAGAAGGACAGTGGCCTTTTTCCCCGAGTCGATATTCGATATATCGATCAAGTTATTATAGGTTTAGAAGACCAAAAGCTTCTTTCACTTCACGACAGCTTCTTCTTTTCTTTTTTTCTTTTCTATTGTTGTCTACAATAGCGCAACGACTCGATGGTGACGATGACGGTGTCGGCGGGTATCGCTTCGTTCCGGTCTTGGTCGGGTTCAACGATGTCGGTTGCGCGCAGGGAGCGAAGAGGGCAAGGAACGTTTTTCAGTTCTTGCAACCTGGTCGCAAGGGCTGTGACCTAGAGAGTGTGATCACGTCTGCGACAGCAGGGTCGTGATGTATTGACAAAGTGAAGAGGAGAGATAAAGCCCGAGGTGTTTCAAGGCTCAGACTGAGAGATGGGACAAGATGGTAATTGTCCACACAGATTGGGATGTGAAAGTGTAGATGTGGGGTGTGACGTCGTGGGGGATCAAAAATAAAAAGAGAGGCCGGACGTAAGTGGTTGGTACGTAGGGCCGTCAGTCGGGACTTCCGCGCAGGTCTTTCGAAACAGGCGGGCGAGGGGAGGGCTGGCTCTTTATAATTTTGAGCAAAGGCTGCTCAGGCAGGACACCCCAGGCAACAACACGACCTGTGGCGTCGACGCTGGCAGGCTTGGCGTGCGCTAGTCTATGCACTAAGCTGAGTTGATCCAATCAAACACTCTTGCGACGCTGATTTTATCTCCTTTTTTCCCACCCACTCACCCCAGTCTCAGCATTGAGCCCCTGAAGTGTCGCTATAGCAAACTCAAAGTCCATGTACACATGTATCGGTACATCTTTTTTTACTTTGCAACACAACCTGCGCCCGAACTCTCTCCACTGCTCTGGACTCAGGCGCTGCAGGCTCTGATCCACTGGAGCTGCGAGCCCCAGGATTTAAGGATCGCCACTAACAAGGTGCCCTGCTGCCCGACACAGGCCGTCCGTGTAGGTAATAGCGGCTCACTCTCACCCTCCCTGGCCCAGCTGCTTGCTCTGCTCTTATTTCAGTCACAAGAGATCACAAGCAAGGAAGCCAACACGGCTGTGGGCGTGTACACGGATCAAATAAGCAACGATTTAAGCGAGACACCTTCTCAGCTTCAGGTGAGATGAACCTAAATGACAATTTCATCGAAGCAGCACTAACCAACTTTCAGTCACAAGATGCACTGTAATCGTGTGTCTTTTCTCTCTCACCCGTTCACAAGTATCGGGATTATTTCTTCCACAGCTTGGCGTGAACAGTTTTCCTCCTTTCCTGGCTGCTAGTTTTTTGCTGTCGTCATCTCTTTCCCCGCACTTTATTTTCTGTCCCTCCATCACCTCACTTCTCACCTTTCACCTCCTCCTCTCCAACAACCCACAACTGCAATCTGCAAGTCAAAACGCAGCTACGAAATGTTGGATCGATTTTGATAACGAACGACGGCGATAACCCCGAAGATGATCAAGGCAACACACGGTATAGAATGAAGTGAGAGCGAAGGACGACGTGAACCGGTACCGACTGAGTCGAGATGGACGAAAACGATGCCAAACACCGACGGGAACGATCACGAAAGGCAGCAAAGGCGGGCACCGAGACCCATCGACGAGCAGAGCCTGCCTTGACCTGGACTGGCTTGACTCAAGCCGGATACTGCGACGGCATCAGCACGCAATCCGGCGGCGACAACAGCGTCACAGCGCCTATCCATGGAGACTCGCAGTCCTGTGGACCTCGGATACGGACTGGAATTATGGGCCGGGGGGCTAGTCCGACTAGGCGTGCTGGCGTGGTTGGTTACTTTTTAGGCTTTCCACTCATTCAGACTGACTCTGATTGCTCTCGCTCGTTGGCGCACCAAGATCGCCTCTGTTGCCCCAATCGCAGTCGCGTATCCCCGACGCTCCTTATCGGAGCGGGCACCACTAACTCTGGTTCTAGCCATGCTCCGCCCTGTCAAACCCTTTGCTCGCCCCCCGTGGGACTTTTTTCTTCCAACCCAACCCAACCACCGACTCTTGCCTAACCACCAAGACGATGGGACCCTGAAACACGCTCTGCCCCCTTCACTGACTGTTTTGTTCAACCCACGCGCCCTCCTTCACTACGCGTCGTCACCTCAGCTTCTTGAGCAGGGTCATTTGAATCGCGCTCATTTCACTGCGATAGTCGTCTCGCAAGCGTCTCATCAGCAAAGTCACGCCATGACCTGCAACAAGAATATGGCTCAGTCAACATATCACGCGACTAACTGACTGCACAAAGCCTGATTTACGGACACTCCGCACAGCAGCAATTTTTACTGAATTTTGCCTTTCCGTGTCCAGTCAGCGAGCGACAAGGAAGTAAAAGGCAGGTTATGGGGTTTTTCTTTTTTCGTGCCCTCTCATTTTGAGCCCCCAACCGCCCGCTGACTCTGTGAGTCATTCAACTGTGGCCAACCAGGAAGCAGTTAGCCAGCAAACTGTCCCCCCTCGCAGTGCTAGGGAGGCTGGATCTGTGCGCCCACTGACTGGCTTCTTGCACAATGTACTCAGTACAACGACTTGCTGGCAGCCGCCATAAATGTTGCAGTCGTCATGGTTGTTCACTTTTGGATGCTGATGCATTCTTTATTTATCACGCTGCGTCTACCAGCTTTTGCACCGCTTTCTTGTCATGCGAGACTGAGCGTAGAGTGATGCATGGCTCCCAACGCCTGGGCTAGACTTTCGAAGCCTGCATGCCGTGACTCTTGGAAACCCCAGTCTGCATTGAGGACACGTTCCAGGATGCCACCGTCAATTTGACGCCGAGTGGTGACACGAAAATTTTGATTGTCAAGGATCGCCAAGTGTGGTTACCTCTTACGAGAACGCGTCAAATTACCCGGGGCTTGCTGACACAAGTACCTCACTAACAATTTTCTGGTCCCACGACTTATCACAGTCCTGGCCTGGGTTTGGACAGGAACTCCACAGACCGTTCATCCTCAGAGGAACCAACCAGCCTCATTTGAACTTCTTCGCGGTTCTACCAGGATCCGCCATGTCTCGCTAGCTTCTTGGTCCATAGGCAAATTTGGCTGGGGCATGAACCGACTCCGCACTGCATGGTTTGCTTGAACAAGATTGCTCTTCTTTTGTGGGGGCGATCGCAAAGCTATCTCGTTACCTGGATGACAGAAAAGATAAGCCTTGATTCCTTTGTCATCACACTTGAACTAAGTATGTTCCAAGCCGTTCTTTACCTATTGCCTCAAGTATATGTGATTTGATCGTCCAGCCATTGAAATTATCATGTTGGTATTCAAAGAAATATCCGCACATGTCAAGAGACATAGCCGCGGAATCCGCAAGGACCAGGCTCTCCACATTGGACGCTCTAGGCTTTCGCCATTCCTCTTTGTTCACATGCTGATAAGCTCAAGTCCATGCGGCTCAAGTGACCTTCCTGTGCAACGACAGCATCTCGATTGCTTCGAGCTGAAGAATAAGCACCTCTGTGCTATCCAGCATACTATCGGTCGCCCGCCGATGTTATAGTCTAGATCTTCATTCCGTACCAAAAGTCATAATTTTGCATTTGTACCATGACTCCAATATGCTCCAAATGTCAAACCTTCCCATTTCTTACTCTCGACCTTATACCAATTGACTGTCCCCAACGCGCCAATGATGCATCCAGGTATATAAACAAGGTATCATACAGAATACATAACGAAAAAGTGTTGCTCCGAAAAGAACAAGCGTTTGGTTTTCTTAGGTCATGTAGTATTTAGGACCTTCACCTCCTTGGGGCACCTGCCAGTTGATGTCCTGGTGAGGAGCCTTGATATCGCACGTCTTGCAATGGATGCAGCTGTTCTGTTGTTAGAGTCTGTGTTCTCAACTGAAAAAAGTCGTAGCAAAAACTTTGGAACTTACTTCTGCGCGTTAATCTGGAAACGCACGCCGTGAGGCTTTGACTCGTCCTCAACATACTCGTAAACGCCAGCTGGGCAAAATCGGTTCTCCAGACCCTTGAAAGGAGGGTATGTTGACTCAGTATGAGCGTCCCAGTCCTTGACTTGTAAATGAACCGGTTGATCCTCCTCATGATTGGTTCCTGTTCGGGAGACACTCGTCAAGATATCAAAGGTGAGCTTGCCGTCAGGCTTCTCGTACTCGATCTTGGGGACCTTATCGGCAGGAAGAGTAGCAGCGTGGTCGGGAGTCTTATGCTTAAGTGTCCAAGGAACGCGACCCTTGAAGACATAAGCCTCGAGACCAGAGTACATGATACCGCCATAAAGACCGAGAGGAGTGTGGAAAGATGGTCGCATGTTGCGCACCTCCTTGAGTTCCTTCCAGATGGGAGAATCTCTCAACTTGTTCTCATAGTCGTACAAGAATACTGTGCCTTCATCGGTCTTTTCACTAATAGCAGTCCATGCCGCCTCGGCGGCAAGCATGCCTGACTTCATGGCATTGTGAGTGCCTTTTACCTTCGGAACGTTGACAAAGCCAGCCGAGTCACCAATGAGCGCACCACCTGGGAAAGCGACCTTGGGAATAGACTGGAAGCCACCCTCAATAAGAGCTCGAGCACCATACGAGATGCACTTGCCGCCCTCGAGGACATCACGGAACAAGGGATGCCGCTTCAGCTTCTGGAACTCCTGGTAAGGGGACATCCAAGGGTTCGAGTAATCAAGCGAGACGACGAGACCAATCTGAACAAGATTCTCGCCAAAGTGGTACATGAAAGAGCCACCGTACACATCTTTGGGTAGCGGGTAACCCATTGAATGCACAACTAAACCCTTTTCAAACTTGGCAGGATCAATCTCCCAAACCTCTTTGACACCAAGGCCGTAAGTCTGATGCTGGCTGTCCCTACGCAGATCAAATTTGTTGATAACCTGTTTGCTCAGGCTTCCATGGCATCCCTCGCCAAACATGGTCACTCTCGCATGGAACTCCATGCCTCGCTCAAACGTTTCCTTGGGCTTGCCATCACGGCCAACCCCTAGGTCGTTGGTGGCGACACCCTTAACTGAACCATCTGAAGCATAAACGACCTCAGAGGCAGCGAATCCGGGGTAAACCTCAACACCAATCTCCTCAGCCCGCTCTCCAAGCCATTTTACGAATTGGTTCAAGCTAACAATGTAGTTTCCGTGATTGGTCATCTGAGGAGGCGCTGGAATGGGTATAGCAGAGTTCTTGGTGAGGAATCGCATACGGTCGGTGCCAGCAGGAGTGGCATGTTCGAAACGATTAGGATTGTTCTCGTCGAGCCAGTCAGGGATAAGTTCGTTGATGGAGGTGGGCTGGATCACAGCTCCAGAGAGGATGTGAGCGCCGAGGTCGCCAGCCTTTTCCAGGACAAGTACCCGAAAATCCTCATTTCCAGCTTCATTAGCAAGCTGCTTGAGACGAATAGCGGCGCTGAGTCCAGCAGGACCAGCTCCTACAATACAGACATCAACCTCGTCGGACTCTCGCTCAACGCTCGCGGGGTCGAAATCTTGGTCATCATCTCGAAGTCGAGAGGTAGTGCTAAAGGCACGAGAAGCCATTGGAACTCTTGCGCCAGACCATACTGTCGTAGATGTCCTTCCTGTAATAGAGGATCTGGCTGAGATTGTGGCGATAGAGAGGTTAGATCTGGCGGGACGAAATTGGGAGCGAGAAAGCACCCTCGAACTTCGCTGGACGCATCGCGAAACTGGTCGTGGGGCGGACATGATGACGGTATAGAGCTGAAGGCGAATTGAATGTTCAGCCACCGGAAGCAGGATTGGCGATGGATGAGTGAGACTCGAGGTGGGGGAGAGGGAAAGGGATTCCTTTTGGAGGAGCTCAAGGAGGGAAGAAATGTCCTGGCGCCGGCGGCAACTAAGCAACTTTCTGCCGCCGTTGACTCTTTCCTTCGTGGTGCGAGTAGAGAGGGCCGATAGTGGGGAAGGTACGATCGCCGGGGTGGCTATTACCGCTTTTGGATCCAACAGAGGACTTCTTTTTGACAATTAACTGGATGTTAATTGGCTCTTTGGCCGGTGTCTCTCTAGAGCTTGGGGCTCCTTTTCCGGCTCGTTAATTATCCTCGGGCCTCTACCTAGGTAGTTTAGATACCAGATTCTTCAGAGAGTGGGAGGTGGGATTTCTGTCTTGACAAATCTCTTTACAGTATTATCTCTTCTCTCATAGGTAGAGTATTGCAGCTGCAGCACCTAGGGTTTGTCAAGGCTCTCACCGGCACTCGGGTTTTGGATAACCGAGGCCATGGAACTACGGTCATTCAACGTCTAAAATCGCGGTTGGTACTCGGCTGATCCGCATTGGTGTGGACCTGGGGTATGCAATGGTTGGATGTATCCAATGGCTAGCATGTGCAAATGCCATCATACATGATGAGTGATGATAACCAAGAATGTCACTTTTTGGCATAGGTTTTTCAGTAGCTGGCAAAAATGAGCAATATAGATGCAGTCACCAGCTGGCAACTCTATGCAACTCTCCTTTTGAGTTGTCGGGGTGTGTCAGATATCCGAGACTTGATAAAGGTGCCCCAAAATCTTGGTAGGCAAAGAGCCTCCTAATTCTCGACTAAATTATCCTAGAGTACTAGCCTGCCTACCTATCCTAAGCTTGTCTAAGTATTTCTGTCACTTAGGACTGAGGTTTGAAAGTATTCTTATTCAAACTTCCCTCAGAGAGCTTCAATCGTCATAATATGTGCTATTCAAGTTGTGAATGCATTGTCTTGTCATGATGCCAGGGCCCATGAGCAATTACGTCAACTACATGCCCCAAGCGTTCGGTATTCGGATGCTCTTGGCCGATGCTTTCATTCGGCTTAACTCTGTTCTTTGCCGCGGCTCAGGGTCCTGGGCTACCTACGCATTGTTTCGGCCTGGATTTGCTTCACCATCTATATTACATCTACATCATACCTAGTCTGCAGCAATTTTCCACTCACGGGTTGAGGTAGCCAAGTGTGCCAAGCGTATGACTTGGTTTACGAATGTTACACACAGGGAGTGGTTCGCTTTTCAAGTCTACTGTACTGACGTTGTGAGGCTTTTCTCGCTTACATTCAATGTTCATTTGCCCTCGATCGATTGTACCTGGCTGTTGTTATACAGTCCGGCTTTTTTTAGAACGTGGTTAAGCCGACGAGCTAGATAAAGCGACTGCGCAGGAGAATATGTGACATTTTTATTTAGTATTACTGATTTCTTCTGTTTCACACACTGGTAGGCTGTCTTCGGATTAAGATGTATATGCATCAACTCGTTGACTACCCTGTACCCTAAGCTCACTGTAGCTTTAGCATAGCCATTCGTTGCCTGGACTCATAACACAAATTTCGGATGAGTTATCGTATTAATACTTGGTTATGTAGAGCGTGCTGCAGTATAGCCGGGTTCCTTGCATCTCAATTTGCCTGGTTGCACGACATTGTTGTTACGCCATCAGACCCTGAGTCTGGGTATCCTGACACCTCTGCCAATTTCGAGAACCCATATCTGATTGACTGATACTCAACCCAACGCGCACCGCTTTCCGCCAACTCCATCAACTCCCGATGAATTCGGGGGTGAGTCATATCAACGCATTCAACGAATGGAGTCGTACTCTGAGCCCAAAGGACCATGGTTCCGTCGAAGCCAACTAGGATAGGAGTAGGATATGTATACACCGTAGCGTATGGACAGATGAAGAAGTACTGATGGAAACACTCATGCATCAACCTGAGACAATATTCTTTGATAAAGAAGTTAGCAGGAAGAGAAATATAAAAAATGCTGGGTAATGTCATCGTGTGCTGCTGTATGGCTTGTGTAGTCTTGTCTGTGAGCCCCTTCGTCGTCCCACAAGCCTGAGCTCTTATATTCATAGATGCACGAAAGCAAGCAGCGATACAACTAAGGCAACGTTTCACGACATCCATGTTACAACAATTCACGAACTCTAAGCATGAATCGCTGGGATCTGCATATCATACTGTATACATGACTCTGAATGTCTTGTTACGGATACCTAGCATTGAAGCGTCTACCGATAGATATAGTGTGCATCTCGAAGTTAAACAGAAGCTTTCTTACCGATTCACAATGATACACTTACCATAGACTCTCGATACAATGCGTTGGGACAGTGAATATAGGACGTGACCATCAGTGATGTTCTAATTAGTGATTGGCTCTTTCATAACAAGTCGAGGGCAAGTGAGAAAAATGTCGAAAACCCCAAAATACCTGATCTATGAATTGGAATACCTCACAATTAACTTGTCCATAATCTGAAAGCATACGATTGTGATATTGGTATGAATACTATAGATATCGGCTTTATTTGAATTTGGCTCAAGATAAACAATGGATATCTTCATCTCAATCCGTCTAGGCCAATGCCCATTTTGGACGTTCTCAGGGGGTTACCGTATTTCAATTAGACTACGAAGTTTATCTTGAAATCTCCAACGCTTCAGGCTTCCCCAGCTTCAGCCCCACTCCCTTTTGTTTTAGTCAGGGGTCACTGGTCATCATTGGTTCTCGCATCTTCAAACCGTGCTCCTTCTTGTACAATCAACCACGAAACACCAAAATGTTTCCATAATAACAACAACCTCTTCAAATGACGGAAATATCGTCAAAATGCACTATATACTCCCTTTTCTGGCCAGCATCGTAGCCGTATCTGCCAATTGCCCGAACTACGAACAATTCGCCCGTGAACGACACGAACCTTTCTCGTCAGGGCGCCATGCGTTTCCTTTTCAGCGTCCAGGCAAGGATTGCCGCACATATTCAGTGCCAGCGGTTGAAAAGGTGATCTACGAGGAGATGGATCAAGCGATTGGTGATCCAGATTTGTATCGTTTGTTTTTGAACACATGGCCTAATACACTCGACACAACCGTGAAATGGCAGGGCACTTCTGCCGATAACTCTGATGAAGAGGTAAACTATGCTTCTTGTACAATATCATACTACTTATTTCGCTGACACTTCGTCAGCTGGCCTTTATTACCACGGGTGATATAAACGCCCTTTGGCTGAGGGATAGTGCAAATCAGCTCCAATCATACAAGTCAATCCTTTCCTCCAACCGAGGCTCCCCGTCCGACGAGAACGACATCGCCTCTCTCTTCCGTGGAGCCATAAACCTCCAAGCCCGATATATAACCAAATCTCCCTTCTGCAATGCCTTCCATCCTCCACCTGAAGCTAAGCTCCGTCGTGTGAAACGATCTCTCCAACCTCGAGACACCGTCAGTCCGAAATATGACCCCGATTTCGTCTTCGAGTGCAAATATGAGCTTGATTCTCTTGCAGCGTTTCTTCAATTATCATGGGACTACTACGACGAAACTGAGGATGGCGAATTCTTTGGCAAGTTCGGCTGGGTCGAAGCCGTCAAGGCAATCTTAAGGGTCGCGAAGCATATGCAAGAAGGGACATACGATGAGCAGGGCAGAGTGCGGAAACCTGCATATACATGGCTGCGAAATTCTGACAGTGCCTCAGAGACTGTGTCTAACCATGGTCACGGCGCGCCTGTCAAGGGTCATATTGGCCTCGTGCGCAGTTTCTTTCGACCATCCGACGACGCATGCATCTATCAGTACTTCATCCCTGCCAATATGATGTTTTCACGCTACCTCACCGCATGCGCAAAGATAATGAGACCTTTGGATGAGAAGGTGGCCAAGGAGATGGAGGCGCTGGCGTTTGATATCGAAGTTGGGGTTAACAAACATGCTATCATCCAGCATCCTATTTTCGGAGAGATGTATGCTTATGAGGTTGATGGCTTTGGATCCCATAGTCTCATGGACGACGCCAATATTCCCTCCCTCTTGAGCATTCCGCACTTAGGCTACAAACCAGCCTCGCAGCACGTATACGATAACACACGCGCTTTTGTACTAAGCTCATATAACCCGTACTACGCCCGAGGACCTGTTCTGAATGCTACAGGTGGCCCTCATCTTGGTCCAGGCATGGCGTGGCCTATGGGGCTCATTGTCCAGCTTTTGACGAGTGACGATGACGAGGAGATTGTGCATGGCATTCGACAGTTGATGAACTCAACGAGTGGGCTTGGCCTCATTCACGAGACAGTTAATAGTCACAACGAGAAGCATTGGACAAGGTCGTGGTAAGTCATGCCGCCGGAGCTGAAGTGCTGTGCGTACTGACGGAAAAAAGGTTCTCGTGGGCCAATGGCTTGTTTGGACAGATGATTATGGACTTGTATAAACGGAAACCAACATTGATAGCCAGGAGCTACCAGGGTGTTGATGACAAATGATATATTAATGTGTAATAGGAAGCTCCGGATGAGTCAAGATTGAGTTGTATAAATGTCCTTATTGAGCGACGAAGACAAACGTGCACTTACATATTTAATCGTGGATTTTGGTTCAGGTAACGCAAGTTGTTTAACTATTAGCTTGTCATAAAACGTTCAGTGTGATTGCCTGTCTAATGACCAACTAAGTACAATACTTATGCCGAAAGCCACCGTTGTCTCATCATAGTCATAACTCCCAAACAGCCATTTCTGATGCAAACGCAAATAAAACACCTCTCATCTGCCTCCTGATTCATTAAAAAAGGATAAAGTCCTGCTTAACTTAAGTCGAAACCTGCCCCTGACTGTACAGCATAAAGTAACTTCTCGCGAAGCGTCGCCTCTGATGTGTATCTTGGTAATTTGAGTAGGTTAACACATGTGCTAGTACTGGGTAGTCTCTCCTCGTCCGTTCCTCCATCTCGAATGCTGAACAATGGTCTCAGTTGTGAGAAGCCTAACAAAGGGGCTCGGGGTGTCGAGCTGACGTATTTGAGAACGGCACGGCGTTGATCATCTGTGAAGCTACGCATGACTTTCCAGAACAACTTAATTGTTTCATGCTCTTCACCGTCATCGCCAATTTGGTATAAGCCGCTATAGATGGTATGATTCCGGAGGTCTTCGATATCGATCTCGGATGAGTCGCCGCCGACAAGACGCTGCAGCTCCGACTGATTAAACATAGACAGCCACGACGGGCGGATAATAGACCTCAGACCGCGCAAGAAGGCTGAGGTCTGCGGTGCTGGTTGAACGACCAAACGGTGCCGAGCGACATACGAGATGTACAAGAGTCGGTTGTCGTTCGTAACATGGATCTGATCGCCATTGGCTATAAGCTTTCTGGTGACAGTCTTCACTGGATTTTTAGGGTCTGAAACCTGGTCCTCGATGGTGAAGTCGATTCCCAGTTCAGAAACATCCCCAGGATAATTCTTGAGTCGCAGCATGCCTCTATAGAGATCCTCATCCATGTCTCGAAGATCGTTCACGCTACCTTTATAAGTATTCTCATCATTGGGCCCTGTCGATGTCCACTTGAGGAGAAAAAAGCCAGCAAAAGCTAGGTCAACGAGAATGCCCTCATACATGCATTTGCCCACGATCCTGCCGAGAAATTCATATCGCTTGAGTAAATCTGATATCATATCTCGGAATGTGCTGTCGGCTTCTGTCATTCCGGCATGGCGCAATTCTTCCCGAATAACATCGAGGGCTGTGGGATCAGGGAACAGAAGTCCCTTTTCGTTCGAAGTGAACATGCCTCTACCACCTTCAGCACCGAAAGCTTCTGTCGTTACGCTGATAAGGAACTCTTTGGTGACACCTCCTCCATCGATACCAGCCTCAGCGGTACCGAACTGATCAACAAATGTGATCTGGATAGGATCCTTCAGACCTTCCCCTATCTCGTAGAATTGCTTATATGCATCGTCAAAGAGACTGTTACGTGAAATCTGTGCATGATGCTTCGCATACGGACCGGCAAAAAAAGACTGGCTGTTATCCCCTCGTTGCTGTCGGTCGAGTTGGATAAAGTGGCGAAAGATTTGAACACGAGTTTCGAAAGGAACTGCAAACGGCATATGCTTTAGAATCTCCAGCTTGGGCTTCATCTCTGCTAGTCGACGCTCCCTTTGACTTCGAATCTGCTGAGCTTTTAGTTTCTCGAGTCTCGCATGTCGTGACAGTCGCTGGCCAACGATGGTTGAGTAAAGACCTGGACCATCCCCATGTTCACTGCCCTCGACATCGCTGCCATCAGAATTTTCATCGATCTGTCGCTTTTCCTCTGCAATAACGGCACTGATAAAGTCTGACTGGTCTAGTTTTGAGGTCATGAGCCAATGGTCTGTGGGTAAGAATTGCTTCCTCGAATCTCTTTCATACAGCATTTTCATAGCTGTTGTAACAATGTTTCGTAGGCTGTCAATATCAAGCCTCGTCGGACTCTTTGTGGGTGATGAAGGTTCCTCTGATATCATTGCTGAAGATTGTCCGGAACCAAAATAGGTGTCAATACGATATCTGGAGGCTGCCTCGAGACCATCAGCAGATTTGGAGAGGTCTTGAGCTCTGTAGTGAAGAGTAAATGCAGTATTCTTCAGAAAGCTCGTCAGCATTTTGACGTCCTCCAAAGACAGGCTGCAAGATCGAATGCGGGATATTGATTGGTTTTGCTCCATAATCCGTGGGTCAATACCGCTGAAAAAATCCTCGTCATCGCTCAAACGAAGAATGAAGATGTACAGTTCAAGGAACAAGAGGGCAATCCGCCAATCCTGTTCCTCTTCTAGGGAATTTGAAGTCTCTGATGTGACACCCAGATACCTGCGGAGGACGTTGAGCGGGGCCTCTGACTCAGTCCTCAACTTCTCGAAGACCGCCGTTTCACTCATAATGTGCCAGAGAAACTTTATCGTTGGGACATCACCCGAGATCGTAGGAATTTCTTCAAGGAAGAGGCGCATGCGTATGTCGTCGCTGTTTGCAGGGAAGCATCGGAGCAGGGTCAAGATATACCCAGCCAAAAAACTCGTGCTCTGATATTCTTGCGAAGAGGATCCTGCCAGGTTGGTTGAGAATTCGTGTAACGTTTGCGAAATGCCATTGCTATCCACTAGGGACATGAATCTAGCAGTGATATAAGGATCTAGTGATGGCACGAGAGGTTCTTCAGAGCTATTCTCGTCGCCATCTGTCGACTTTGCCAACAACCGGACACTGATGGTAGAAGAAAGACTAGACAATTGAGTGTAAAGCGTTTCCAAAACACCCGAGCCGCTGCTGCTGTTGGCGTTAAAGCGACTCAAATCGATGAAGTGGGCGAGCTGCCAGAGTTGAGCATCCTGAAAGTGTTTCTCGCTCGATGGAGAGGACAGTCCTGTGACTATCGCCTTTGAAAGATCGGAAAGTCTGACTGCGTTGGATAGAGTGGAGATATTTTCTTCAAAGAAGTACAAATTATTCTTGGCCAGGAAAGAGAAGGCGTATGCACGATAAACTTGTGATGTCCCTGGAAAACGTTAGTAGAATACCAAGGATCCTGATCGGGAGACTTGCCTTCGTGATATGCTGCCTCGAGTGGCCTAGAAATGGCTTGAAGCATAACATCTTGCCACTGCCCACTGAGCTTCTGAAACTGACATAACTTGGCGACGACTGTGTAGTAACTGTCGATTGCGGGAATGACCAACTCGGGGTACTTCGTAACGATGCGAAGAACGAGCTTAAAAAGAAGATGGGTATCACCAGAAAGATCTCTGCACAGTTTATTAGTTAGACAATGGCCAGATAGAACTAGTGATAAACGTAATCACGTACCTTATTGATAAAGACCTGTCCAAGGCCTGTAAAAGAAGTTGAACAAGGCATCCTACTCGTGACGGATGAACATTTGAAGGAGCAATTGCTTCGAGATCCACAGACTCGGTATCATGTGCATAACAAATAGCTCGCTGTATGTCGTCATCTCGTCGCAGGCTGAAGAAAGACAGAAGCAGCCCGAATGCTTTAGGAAGCCTCTCACAAGGATTCTGACGAGGCCCTGATTTATACAGAGCATCAAATGCGTTCCTCTGAGACTCCTTCAGCTCTGCTCTTGTTTTATAGCCTCTCCATATTCTCTGTATCTTGCCGGCCGCCTTTAGTTTTGCCCGATCAGCTTGTCGTTTCTCACGCTCGGCCTGTGCATTTGAAACAGTCTTTGTTGTGTTCGAGACAGCAGATGGTGACCACGAAGTATTGGTGAAGGGATTTCCGGTGGTGCCGCTAAGGTTGACATTTCGAGGGCGTCTCGAGTTGCCCGTGAATGTCGAGAACATGGTTATGATGCGGGAGGGAGGACGGGACGGGAGGACAGCGCAAGGTTCAGTGAGTAGGGAGTATATTTAGGTAGGCAACGATATCATGGTCGAATGGCCCAGCCGTCGAATCCGTCGTGAATAAGTGTCGACCCTGCTTCTAGAAGATTCAGCTTGGAAGCTCAGTCAGCGACGGGCGGCGGCCTGGTCTATTTTAGATGCTATTTGCCCAATGCCGCGTTCGGAGTTTGGAGATGCTTTGGTGGGGATGGGCTTTGAAGTGACCTCACATTTGCCTGAGCCGGGATTGCGATAAGATAAGAGCAACTACACTGAGCAACCGCGGAATACGCAAATGCGAATTGCCATGACCACACGAGAACACGATTATGCGCCAATTGTGAAGAGTCTATGCGAAGTTACTCTCGTTTCTTTCTGCGGAGAGTATTTTATTTAAGCTCTTCTGAACCATGGTGTGATACACTGATTAGAAATGCTGATATACAAAGTCTTGGTAAGTTCTAGATTCAGTTCTGTGATAAGACCCGGCCGGGCATATCCTCGGGACTTTGTCATTTTGATGAATCTCAGAGTCTAATAACTGATTTATTCGTATTTTGGTTAATGAGTTTCCAAAAACCATAATACTCATATTTAGTCAAATAATAACTTAGCAAACAAAAACCTTCCATCATGAGGGTTTATGTATATTTAATGGTCATATTAAGTAAACTTCAAATCGTGGTCACAAGCAGACCCATCCTCGTCTCATGACACGACATTTTTAATCCTCATAAACATTGCGTGATAATATTCCCATAGGCCTCGAGTCCTGTTGGGGTGGCTTCGTGTTTGAGACGACATGAGTCCCATGCAACTGCAGAGAACGTCTTATCGATGATAGGAATTTTTGCTTGTTTTTGTCTCAGTCCTAAATACTTGCACCTTCTCATGTTAGACCTCTCATGTGACGTCCGGAAATTGCACTGTCAAAGGAACCTTGACCCGAAAGAATGCCCACTTGTTGAGTTTATGCGCCGCAATAATATTGTATGCCTATCTTTGGCGGTGAAGAAACCAAGCATCATGGCATACTGGATCTAATGAAGCGCCTAGCAATAGGTTCATATGCACGTACGTTGCTTTTAGTGATACCCCGGCCGAAGCGACAAGAAAAATGTCATTCTAACTGCAAGTGGATCACTTTGAACAGTGAGACACTGAAGATAAGTCGTCATCGTCAAAATTAGCAAACACACACAGTAAAAGCAAAAATTGCTTCCTCACACAGTTTTCTCTGTTACATCGTAGCCCAGGCCAGGCCAGTGACAGCCTGGGCCGTTTGCTAGCTTCAACAGCGTGGCATAGTGTGGCTACCATCTCCAATAAGTGACAAAAATTTGAACGGGTTGCCTTTTCCAGCGCCGGGGGCGCCGCTTGTATCTTGGCCACTGCCGAGATGGGTGAGCAGGGCACGTGCCCCCCCGTCCCTTATCACTGTACAGTGGGCTGGCCTAGGCCATTTGTTAGTGAAAGACCTGTATGATACCAAACAGCCTATCGCTACCAGTTGGCATGTACCCCACTTCCTCAAGGTGCCTATTAATTCTGGCAGGTTCACTCCACCAATCCTTCCCCCCTCTACCATGACCAAATCAAGTACGGTACGTACCTTAGCCTTAGGTCTACAGTGCAGCCAAGGCTAAGCAAAAAATATTCTATCACGACCGAAATTTCTCTTTCTTCCTTCTTCAACCACGAAACCAACCTTATTACTCAACCCCAAAACCCATAAAAGTCGAGTTAGTCCAGAGGTACGGTCTTCGTACTAGTTCTCTGTTTCTGCTCACTTCATTTCCACTCGGAACAAAAACACAAAAAAAAACTTGAAAAAACCACCAAAAAACACAACCCACCAACACCACTACCACCCCCTCACCTCATCTCACGACCTCTCTTCTCTCTTTGTCTCTCTCGCGACACCCACCGCCCGAGTGACTTTTCCTCCTTCGACGACTTCTTTCAACCCTGTCTTTGAGTCCCTTGTAATCAAAGACTCTTCAAATCGTCGCGCTGCATCGCTTTGTTCGTTGCTCCGTCTTCTTTGTTCGCTCAAGGTCGAGTACCACGCGAACTTTCTCCACTGTCGGCTTCTTAAACAGGTATGCCTAGCCCTGCCATTCCTCCTCCTCTGTCTACGAATCGATTTTTTTCTCTTTTATCCCCTAAACTCATCATAACTATCGAAGCGCTTGCTTAATTATTTGCTAACCCCACTGCTCATTGCAGGTCCATACTCAACCCTAGAACAACCGATATTCACAATGGCCGCCAACGCTGCTCCAGGCGCTGTTGACCAGCTCGCCAACGACCTCAACAACACCTCTCTCAACGGCGGTGATGCTAAGGCTCCTGCTGTCGACACCGGTGTCGCTGCCGCCGCTGACGATGCTGCTGCTCCTACCCCCACCTCCGCTGCTCCTCACCCCCAGAACTCTGCCTCTCTCTACGTTGGCGAGCTTGACCCCTCCGTCACCGAGGCTATGCTCTTCGAGCTCTTCTCCCAAATCGGTGCTGTCGCCTCTATCCGTGTCTGCCGTGACGCCGTCACCCGCCGCTCCCTTGGTTATGCCTATGTCAACTACAATGCTACTGCCGATGGCGAGAAGGCTCTTGAGGAGCTCAACTACACCCTGATCAAGGGCCGCCCCTGCCGCATCATGTGGTCTCAGCGTGACCCTGCTCTTCGCAAGAACGGACAGGGCAATGTTTTCATCAAGAACCTTGATGTCGCTATTGACAACAAGGCTCTTCACGACACCTTCGCTGCCTTTGGTAACATTCTGAGCTGCAAGGTCGCCCAGGACGAGAACGGCAACTCCAAGGGCTATGGTTTCGTTCACTACGAGACTGATGAGGCTGCCTCCCAGGCTATCAAGCACGTCAACGGTATGCTTCTCAACGAGAAGAAGGTTTACGTCGGCCACCACATCCCCAAGAAGGACCGCCAGAGCAAGTTCGAGGAGATGAAGGCCAACTTCACTAATGTCTACGTCAAGAACATTGCCCCTGACGTTACTGAGGATGATTTCCGTGAGCTCTTTGAGAAGTTCGGTGATGTCACCTCTTCCTCCCTCGCCCGTGATCAGGAGGGCAAGAGCCGAGGTTTCGGTTTTGTCAACTTCACCACTCACGAGAGTGCCTCCAAGGCTGTTGACGACCTCAACGGCAAGGATTTCCATGGCCAGGATCTGTACGTTGGCCGCGCCCAGAAGAAGCACGAGCGTGAGGAGGAGCTCCGCAAGTCTTATGAAGCTGCTCGCCTCGAGAAGGCCAACAAGTACCAGGGCGTTAATCTCTACATCAAGAACCTCGATGACGACGTTGACGATGATAAGCTCCGCCAGATGTTCTCCGAGTTCGGTCCCATTACCTCCGCCAAGGTGATGCGTGAGACCCCCACTGAGGGCGATGAGGATAAGAAGGAGGAGACTCAGGATGACAAGGAGAAGGAGAACAAGGAAGAAGCCAAGGAAGAGGCTAACGAGGAGACCAAGGAGGGTGAGGAGGCTAAAGATGATAAGAAGACTGAGAAGAAGTCGGACAAGAAGCTCGGTAAGAGCAAGGGCTTTGGATTCGTCTGCTTCAGCAACCCCGACGATGCTACCAAGGCTGTCGCTGAGATGAACCAGCGTATGATTAACAACAAGCCTCTGTACGTCGCTCTGGCCCAGCGCAAGGATGTTCGAAAGAGCCAGCTTGAGGCTAGCATCCAAGCTCGCAACCAACTCCGCATGCAGCAGGCCGCCGCCGCCGCCGGTATGCCCCAGCAGTACATGCAACCCCCTGTTTACTTTGCTCCTGGCCAGCAGCCCGGCTTCATGCCTCAGGGTGGTCGTGGTGTTCCTTTCCCTCAGCCTGGTATGGGAATGCCCGGTGTTCAGGGTGGTCGTCCCGGTCAGTTCCCTGGTTACCCTCAGCAGGGTGGCCGTGGTGGTGTTCCTCAGCAGATGCCTCCCAACATGTACGGCATGCCTGGCCAGTTCCCTCCCCAGTTTGGCCAGCCCGGTACTCCTCAGTTCATGGCTGCTATGCAGGCCCAGCAAGCCGCTCTTGGTGGCCGTGGCGCTCCTCAGGGCGGTCGTGGTGGTCCTCAGAACATGCCCGGTGGTCCTCCCATGGCTGGCGGTATGGCTGGTTTCCCTCCTAACAACCGCCAGCAGGGTGGTCGAGGTGGACCTGGACGCAACGGCAACGCGCCTCAAGGTGGTCGTGGTGCCGAGGGTGCCGGCCCCAATGTGCTCCAGCAGCAGCTTGCTGCCGCTCCCCCCGCTCAGCAGAAGCAGATCCTTGGTGAGCTGATCTTCCCCAAGATCCAAGCCATTAACGGTGAGCTTGCTGGCAAGATTACCGGTATGCTTCTAGAGATGGACAACGCCGAACTTGTCAACCTGTAAGTTAATCTACTTTCCTACAAAACACAATCAGCAGCTAACAGCCATCACAGTATCGAGGACGATGCCGCTCTGAAGGCCAAGGTCGATGAGGCCCTGGCTGTCTATGACGAGTACGTCAAGGCTCAGGGCAGCGAGGGTGGTGAGCCCAAGAAGGAGGAGGAGACCAAGGCTTAAGCCATCTCCCAATTTCATCAAATTCTATCATTTTCTTTTTTTCATGGTTATCTGACTGGGCAACCCCCTCAAATGGAACGACGAATGCCTCTACAAGGCAATTTATGGAACAATCAGCAACGAAACATGCTTTACGACCTTGTGTTACCCAACCCGAGGGGGCGCATTATGTACAGATAGACTTGGTTGCTATTTCTTCTCAGGAAGGGAGATTCAAAAGTTTGGGGACTTTGCGGTGGCTGGCTCTCGTCGCGAACCGTCGCTTGCTCACAGCAACGGCGACGGCGCTTTCGGGAGAACCCACCAGGACGGCGTTGACGGTTTTCTGACACTCTGGCTGTTGGCCTATACCCCCTACCAATGGTCCTCGTTTGCAGGCATGATCAACGCAGAGGTTTTATGCGGTTAGGGTTTCTAATGAAAGAGACATGTTTAAGTACTATTATGTGCGTGTCCCGCCATCATGAGAAAGGAACATTCACTCGATGTGATGCCTTGTACATGTAGAAAATCGTGAAAATGCTAACTTGTAAATTGAAACTAAGAGGTATAACTAGAGGCTATTCGTGATATGCAATGGACCATGTCAGTGTAGATATACCCAAACGCCCAAACAAAATTCCTTTTCTGTACCCACAGAGCAGGGAAATTCCAAAGTTTGTTGGACAATCATATTGCAACAGCATTATGCCAGGGCAGAGGGTCTTCTTCCTTTGGATTCATGGTATACAAGACACGTCTGATAAGTGACTGCATTCCAAAGTAGAAAGAGAACTATTAGAGAAATCCAACATGTGATTTGGGGTCTCAAAGAATCCATGCATCCTTAAAGGGGATTTACGACAACAGTGCCAGGCCTGTCTTCGATCGCAAACTTTTTGCTCGGTACGCTACCAAACAGAGTCTCCATGACTTTGCCCTTCTGCTGTTTCCTGACATCACCGAGGTAATCACTCACATCGCTGAGACCACGAATTTGGTCCTCCAATGTAAGTGTTGTAGAGTTGACGCCGCGAACAAGAGGCGAGACGAGTTTGCTGCGAAGAGTTTCTAGTGACGCTTTTAAAGTCAAAAGTTTGCCGTTGTGCTCGACAAGAATGCCTTTATTGCGCACCGTCTTGTCCCGGACGTCACGTAGTAGCAGACGGTTCTGCTCAAATTTACGTAATTCGGCCGCTCTTGTACCAAGGAGCCGTGTCCAGAGGCTCGAAAGCATATCGGCATGAAGTTCTTCCTGGGCAGACGACTCGCGAACAACAGTGCGGGCGAGATTTAGGAAGTGATGATCCACAGCTTCGAAAAGGGCGAATAGGGTGACGCTATGTTGTAGCTCAGCTTGGATGGAGTCTTCAAGGACAGAAAGAAATTCTGTGAAGAGAAGCTGCACCATTCGTTGCTCCCTTTGCGGATTCGAGAGGCCAAAGATGTGGCTGGTCAAGCGACCAAGGGTGGTAGGAGAGCCGGAGGCATCCTCAAGGACGTGTGCTTGAGAGAGAAGATTGTGGATGTTGTCGTAGGCTGAGGAGATAGTTGAAGGAGAAGGGGATGATTTGAGGCGGTTGAGGTGCATTTTGGCCCAATCCATGACGTTGAGGATGCTGCGAGATGTTAGAATGGTCAAGATCGTTTCCAACTAGGGACTTACCCATCGATATCACCATCGACTCTAGCAAAGAATTTGGTCATCTCTATGGCCAACGTTTTCATGGTTTCACTTAGAGCATCTAGGTCTGCCACGATTCTAGGAGCATCGCGCATATCGCTTGTACGCACACTCTCACCAAGATCCCAGACAGCAACGCTGGTCGCCTGTAGATCATGTACTTGAGCGACAGCATGCTCAGAGTAATAGATGAGGGGTTCGAATGAGCGAGCTAGTCCTGCAACTTTCACAAGATCGCCAACTGGTCGAGGGGCAGCGGGCTGTAAGAGAGACTTGAAGATAGAGACAGAGAAGAAGGCAACGATGATGGTGGTGAAAGTTGTTGACCATGTTCTAGTAAGAGCTTTGTAGTGATCACGGATGAAGTTGATGGCTGTCTCAATAGGTTCAGTGCGATGCTGAACTTCGGCACGGACGGCAAAGCGGATATCTGACATGTATTAGATATGTATCTGGGATCTGGCCACAACTTCACCTACAGTTATCTGGTGTCGCTTCATGCAAGCTCAGCTCTCTTGAAGGACTTGACTTATCCTGGAGCTGAAACTGAATTGTGGGATCATCCGCTTTCTCAGGGCTCATACTCCTGCCTTTGCCTGGACTCTGGCTCCCTCTGGGCAGCCTCGTCCGAATGGCTCTCTCCAGGACGCCATCGTCCTCACTGTCATCCAGTTCAGGGGAGCTCTCTCTGAGCGTGCTCATCCCTCGGTGCATAAAGTCCTGAGGAGCTCTCCAGAAGCCACTACTCCGGTCTCCGTTTCCCAGCCTTCGCCACGCCGGCGGTGAGTACCCACCCGCGGATGCGGTCTCCGAATCCTCGAGATCCCCTTCTGTCATTGCTGCTTCGCTGCGGTGAGCTGAGTGATGGGGCAGTGATGGACTTGGTGGGAGATCGAAGTCCTGTAGGCTGGCGTCTAGACCTTCGAGGGGATCCATTGTCGGTAGATCTTTTTGATGGTGATGAGTCCTGGTGCGATTCCCGACGACGACGATATTCTACTTCTTGAAACTCAAGTTGTTTTTGCTTCTCGAGGAGAAATCGTTGTTGTTGAGCTAATTGTTGTTGTTGGAGGTAATGGCGGCGCTGCGCAAGGACAATATCCTGCCCAGAGATGACAAGTTGCTGTTGATCCTCGAATACAAGTCCAGTGGCGGCATATGGTGGCTCCGGTAGAGTCTTTTCAGGTTTGGTCGGCTGTCTTTGACTGTCTGTTGGGTCTCCAAGTATTGGCCTTAATATTGAAGCCAGCGATGGCAACGGTATGCCCAGATTAGGAAACCGGCAAGCCAAAAGACGGGGAACGTAAATAATGGCAAAGAGAAGAAGCAGAGCAACAGTGATAAGATACGTGCTTGGAGCAATAGTGATGCTGACGAGCGAGACGTTGTTGTTGACTGTGAAGAAGGAAGTCATAGAGACGATAGCTGAGTGATATACGGCTTTCTCTGCCACTGAATTGACTCGACTTGTCTTTGAATAAGATAATGAAAGGTGGGTTATGACAAAAACGGTTGTGAAGTTTAACGTTAATGAGTATCGAGTGTTTGGTATGGAATGATGATTGGATGGATGAATAGATGGATGGTTACTGTAGAGAGGAGATAGAAGGGGCAAATGGAAGCTCAGGAACAATACTTCCAACTTCCTTGTGCAAGGGTAAGGTAATGTTTGAGTGCATAGAAAAGAGAAGGAAAGAGGGATGGGGCCGTAGGTTCCTTGACCGACTGAGCAGCCTGGGAATGTGGATGAGAAGGGGAAAGGAAGGATGAAAGTTCAAGGATAGGAAGGAAGGAAGTTAGACATGAAACACAAGTGATTATTCAATTACTGCCTGACATTTACTAAGACAAGAATTGATGCACATCACTAACAACTACAGATAACCATCACCCTTGCCTTAACCCATCACTCACTCACTCAGTCTACATTGCCTCTGCTCACACATTCATTCGCAACTTCCCCTCCAAGACCCAAAATCAACGAGGCTGGGCCCTCCTTCCCTCCCCCTAGACAACGCATAACATCCAATCAAGCCCCGCCAACCGTGCAGAACAAGACTGTTTCTCGAGCCCCCCGCACTAGTCTTGTTTCGGAAGCACTTAACGCGCCCGAAGCTTAACACGCGACGGTCACATGGTGCTTTTTGTTTATTGACCCTGAGAGATAAGACTATTTATTCCCTTTATAAGGTGATCCACTACACGAAACTGAGACGTATTCACGGCTCTATAACGTGTCTGTTTTGGAGGCAAATCCCGTCATTCACAGGGCTCGTGACCGTGTTGTTTTTGGCTTGAGGACCAATAACACCGCAATTGTGACTCGACGCTCACGTCCTTGATACGCTGGCAACGCTTTGTTGTTGATTGTGGGCCATTTGTTAAAAAAGTGGACCTGGTCTGTGTCTTTGGGCTTGATGTTGGCCAAGATGCGATGGCGGATGAAGCGGGAGAGATGAGGCCATGGTATCTACAGTGATGAAAGGTCCAGGACCACTACAAAGATGCCTGATGCTCAGCTCATAATGTGCTATTCTCCTTAAAGTTTAGGCTGCAACGGTTTCTTGAGTTTATATAAACATCATGCATGTGAACTGTAGTCTATCTTCACTAATAACTACCGCTATCCTTTTCTGATATACAATCATCTCATGCTCATACAAAGCTATGTCAGCCTATAGATACAGCCTCCATGTGATCCGGAAGTTACCCCGGCTCCTATGTCTATGCATAGTTTCCAGCATCGTTCTCGACATTGGGGTTCTTCTCTTCGATAGCCAACTCACAGCACAGCCGTCCCAGAAACTCCATCCTTCTCATTGACGCCTTGAGCCTCATACCCCAGCCAATGCACTCAATCACTGGCTGGGCACACTGAGTGAACAGCTCAATCACCGTCTCCGTCGCCATTGGCTTCTGATCGTTGATGGCGTTCTGCAGATTCAAGCCGTCCTCCACCTCTACCACCGACGGCCTCTCTGTTCCCTTCCATGGAAGGGGAAATTCCTCACAGAGCATATCCACAGCCAAAGACTCCGCGAGCTTAGCATCCCAAGTCTCTGAACCCGTGAGATTTTTCCACGACTGGGCGAAACACACTGGAACACTGTTACTCCAGACTCGAGGGCCATTGTGGCGATTATGTACGTCGTACATGGCTGTGCCCTCTTCTATTAGACCCCACCATACGACGAGCTCGGTATCCGTATCATCAGCTCCGAGGAATAACACTCCATATATGGGGTTTTGTGTTGGTTTGTTGGCGAGCTTGCCCGCCACGATGTATCGCTGGGATCCGGTATAAGCCGCACGCTGCTTAAGCTCACGGTCTTTGAGAGTCATGTTGACCTTGAAGGGGAAGCTTCCTCGCAGGCGAGCATCTGGCTCGATAGAATCCGATTCAAGCAGAATCGTCTCTGTCTTGAATTCAGGTTTGTATTCAATGGAACATATTGCTGAGGCGGTCAGTTCAATATTCACACGGAAACGCCATTGTTGCTTTGGCAGTTACTCACCGTTTCTATCACCACCGGTATCCAAATACCCGGACTTATTCTGATCATGTTCTATCACCATGATCACGCTCGTAGGATCTCGTCGAAATGCACCCTCAGCATAAGGACTCTCACTGAGAATTATAGCTGGTCTGGAAAGAGTATCTGGAGACAGACTGCAGTCGAGGACAGCTAGCCATCGGTCATTAGCTTCCTTGAGCTCCGTCTTGTCATGGTTCCAACGCGTCAGTTTGCACGGACACTTCCACACGCGAAGGACCAGGCCTTGATCTGTCAACCGGACACCAAACAAGCCCGAATCTTCCTGTCCCGCATATGTGCGTAAGTTGAAGTTGGCGGGGCTGTCAGCGAGGAAGTGCATTCGGTGCGTGTTCTCCTCAGGCTTTCGAGACAAGGGCCATCTCCATACGAGTATGGACTGGTCCTGCGACTTTTTGAGGACTTCTTCCTGCAATCTCAGAAAGGCCCTGGAGCCCTCGCCATATAATATGGGCATGTTGATTCCAAAAATTCCAAGCAAAGAGTACGCTATATCTTCAACTCGCGTCGTTTCCCTGTGGGCCATCCAGCCCATCCTTGTGGCCACGTTTTCACGCTGGAGCTTAACCGATATCTTGCGATCCTTCTTCCCTTCCGGCCTGATCAAAAACGATTCATCAATGTCTGTAATCTCCTTGATTGTCGAAGCCAAAGAATGTCGGTCGCCGACGGGCGTCCAATTGTGATCGAAGAATTCCACCTCATCAGGCGCGAGCAGCTCCTGTAGTGTCCATCCACGCGTGAACCAACGACTCTGCTTCAAACCAGACGTCAATCCGATGCCCACGGCGTGTAGAAAGACATCTGTGAGGTAGGCATAGCATATATCCGCGTTGTTGTACCAGCGAAACATAGAATTGATGGCTTCTGAGAGCTCAGCGCTACTGGACTTGTCGATGCAGCAAGTATCGATCCAGAGATAGTTGAGCCCGCGGCTGAGAGCCTTTTCGCAGGACTGCACTATCTTGCGGTAACCAGCACCATTCTTCTTCCGAATCTCTTCCATGCGCGTGGGATCCTGTATGTCACCGAAAAGGACCTCATCTGTACCCCACGTATGAGACAGGATGGCGTATTTTTCGGACCCCTCTTCTAAGCTTTCGAGCTGTAGCGTCTTGGTATTGAGAAGTCTCATAATTGCTTGCGAATCAGAAAGTGAGACAGAAAATAAAATTAGGACAGACAGGGAAGATTAGTAGGTAAACATCAAGATCGTCAAGCCATAAAGAGGTGATAATTGTGGTGGAGCACTTTCATGCTCTACTGCCTCTCCAGCCTATGTCTGTGTCAGTGTCAGTCCGTAGTAAGGGTCGTTTCAGTTCAGCCTCCTGCTGTTCTGTTGGCTGTTGGTCCAGGCGAGACGCGAGAGAAGGCCTAGGCCCAGTTCAGGGCCATACGAGGCGAGGCTCAAGCGAGTCACAGGCTTAAATTCCCTAGGGTTGCGGGTTGAGAGACCAATGAAATGTGTCAGAATCCCTGTGGCGAATCTCGTATGAATAAGATACTGTAGTAAGCTGCCGTTGGTTCTGCTCTGCTTCTGTTCATTCATCCGAGGCATAATGAGAGGTTGGGCAGATGAAAAAAAAAACGGTCAGATATTTCAAGTCAACTCGAGAACGCGCTGGTTCAAAAGAGTGCAAGCTTAAATCCTATAAATGCATGTGTCGAGTCAGTCATAATTGGGCGTTGGGATCAAGATAGACGTGCATTAATAGATGTGACACGTGATGTCACTTAACAATGAAACCCCGTGGTTCATGCAACTCTTCACAACTGTACATAGACCAAATTGTGGTTTTAAACTCATAATCTGGATTGATTCAACTGATAAACTAACGAGCGGCCTCTACTCAAAACATCATGAATCCTTTCAACTTCTGTTTCTGGTTCCGCTTTCGCTTCCGCTTTCAATCACCAAGTTCGCGCCAACTATGTTTAACAAAGCCCGTTTCTAAGAATAAACTGCAAATCCTTGCGCCGCTTGACCCCAGCATAACAAATCATGAAGCCTCGTAGAGCATTTCCCATGCATGTGCCTCTCCATAACGATCCAGATTTCTGTAAGACGTGATTCTTCGATTAATCAATTTTGGCGTTGGCCAAACTTCGAGCTGCTGGGTTGCTGAGATTGTTCACAGGCTTCACGCCTCTGTATTTGCCCTGCTTTCGGAGACGCTTTCGTGCCACCATCACAGGGACCGAGCTCTTCGTCACCAGATAGTTGGAAAATGATCCCAGAATGACACTGTCTATTGTTAGCTGCTGTCATAGCCTCGATAGTTGAAACGTCGCTTATTTTAACGTACCCCTTGAGTGCACTCCTGCCTCGACTTCCTATGACGACAAGTGTTGGGTTAACATGGTCGATGACCTCTGTGATCAAGTGCTTCGGGTTCTTGCAATGCAAGACTTCCACAATAACTCTGACCTGGAGCGTCGTCTTTCGCAGAAGACGGAGCACTTTGTCTGTGATCTCCTTAACTGCTCGACGCCGCTCTTCTTCCGCCCTGCCTCTTTCTCCTCGACTTGAAGGTGCGGGAGATGTGTTTGGGGTGTTGTTCTTGGAGGAGTCTCCTCGAATAGAATTCCTCACGAAATCTGGGACAGCAGACATGGAGGGCGCAGCAGATCTTGAGTTTGCTACCGTGTTGATAGCAGCTGCTTGCTCTCTCATAGCCTTTGGATCATCAGGAACCGAGTTGTCGACCCCTCCGATGCCGGTCTCCTCGTCCACGCAGTAGATGCATATTAAGGTATCACCGTCTCGTAGGACCGTACCAATGGCCCATTCGAGGGCATGTGTAGATTCATCACTCAGATCCGATGCAACCAGATACTTTCGCAGACGGTGATGTTCCTCCTCGGCTTGCTGAACAATCTTGTTGTAGTCGCCACGATAGATCATACGGATAGCGCGGTGAGACTCAGGAGTGGAGATGATGTTTGACATCGAGCAGGACAGATTTTGAGCCCGCTTGATATCATCCATATCTGCCTCCTCGTCTGAATCGTTTGCAGAAGCCACTGTTGACATCTGATCGTAAGCTGTCTTAGGATGCACACCGCCGCCTTTGTTCAACCGTGTGTTCTCGCCCAGAGGAGTGGTAATCTTTATTTCTGGCTCATCAAGTAGAGAACGGTACTTAGGTTGCTTCGCTGCAACTGTTGTCCCTGGTACCAATTTAGCATCACCGACTTGAGGTGAGACGAGGGGTAACTTACGCTCTTCCTCTGCAGCAGCGAGAAGACTCATTGATTTTCGTCGCTCCTTACTCGGATCGTCTGCCGACCCACCAATTGCATCGGGGTTAAGTGACCTGGGAGCCTTCTTACGACCACGATCTTCGTCATCGGATGAGTACGCCTCGTCTTCCTCACTTGAGCCAAGGTGCTCGCCATCAGGGCTCAGGTAGTCTTTGATCATCCTTCCACTCTGGGCATCCTCGCGGTTGCGCCTAGGCAGCTGAGACAAACTACCACCTGCGTACGCTAGGTTGGCATCAGATAACCTTCGATATGCATTGCTGATATCCACAATTCGGCCATCATCAAGCATAGCCTTACCTGGCGCCAATACCTGCGTTACGTGAGCTGGAGACCTGGACCTTGACCCCAGCCGATTGTGAGGAGATTTTGACTTCTGACTGCTGCCGCTACCGCCAAACCAGGAACGCCTGCCATCACCTTCTCCAGGGATTTGCAGGCCACTGAGATCGGCGTTGCGGAGTGCCTCACTCAGAGCATTCGCAGATGGCTTCTTGCCGCCCTGCGTGTTTCTCTTGGGAAGTTGTTGGCCGCTATTGCGCGTAATGATATCTGAAAATTGATAACCGGCGGTAGGGTCATTCCGGGCAGCAGCTGCTCGAGGTCCAAAATCAACGGGGTTCGAGGCTGCATCAGAGAAGCTTCGCGTATGCCCGACGCTACTGGGCGCGAGAGTTGCTTTGGTCATGACTGGAGAATTAGGAGTCGTGCTGGTTCCGGAAGGCCTCAAGGGTCCAGCGAGGGGTGTGTCAGTATCCAACATACTTCGGTATTTTGGTGGCGGGGGAGAACTGGTGTCCAGCATACTCCGCACAGTCTGTCGTGGTGAGCTTGGTGTTGGCTGATCGTCGACATCCAACATACTCCGAACGGGAGATCGAGGGGTGGCATAGGGTGAAGCAGATCGCATGGCTCCTGGCATGGAGGGCTCAGGACGAGGTCGATTCTCGAGCAAGGCGAGAACTTCCTTGCGCTCCATGTCGAGCATAGCCTCGATGCTCATAGGTTGCTGGTTATGCGACATGATGACGGCAAATCCGAAGCGATATGTTCGTCTTCAGAAAATAGACAAGGCTTGTAGTAAGGGTGAGATGCGACGAGAGCTCAACCAAGCGGTGTCGAGGATTGCGCCCACAAAGATGAATAGTCTGGTGGGGATTCCGTAGACAGCTGTTAGAGATGCCTATGTATGTGTGATACAGGGTGGCATTGCGTGTGGCCAAGAATGAATGAGTATATGTTCTATCGTCTCTCAAACTGGCACTGAGTCGATGCTGGTTATAATCGGTGATGTCGGTAAGCGTCGAGATAAATGATATCGTGCTCGAACTCGGGGCGGTACGTCAGAGGCCACTCGGTGAAGCTGGTGAGCGCCCAATAGCAGCGTAATGTTCTTAGTTCGCACGGTCGCAATACCAAAAAGAACGACAGAGGCAATTATGCGGGAGTCAATGTAGTGGTAAATTCTTGCTTCGTTGTGTGACGAGGATAATGAAGCTGAGTATGAAGAGGAAGAGGAAGAGGAGAAGAGGGGAGAGGAGAAAGGTTGACGTGCACTTGCACCGTAGCGGTAGTGGGATCTACCTTATGGAAGGTAGGTTCTGGGGAAGCAGTGGCGTGGAGTCTAGAGTTTAGAGGTGTTTGAGCCCAGAGCCCAGACCGAAGCGGCGCAGCAACCCCCAATTTGGGTCACAGAAGTGTGGAAGATCACCGAGTTAGTGGGGTAGACGCAGCTACACCTAGGATGGAGTAAGATGGATGGATGAAAACAGTTGGAAAGGCTTATTATCACACTTAAATGCAGGAAGTTTAGAGAATAAGGTAAAGAAACGGCGTGAATTAACTCTTGATATGTCACCACTCTTCATAACAAATCATACCAAACATTGACGCTATCCCGGACTGTTTCTCCCCTCCGTACTTTTGCCCTGAAGTTGGGCACTAAAGATCCGACTAACATTTTAAGGTCAGTGCCTGTGACAACCCTTATTATGGTAATGATGTGCGTAAGACGTCGGTTAAAGCATTTTAAAAAGTGGACGGCGTCACCACTACTGCGTGAGGTTAATCAATATCAACTCACCAGCCGAAATTAAAGAAACCCAAAGGATATACTTGGATGATGAGAAAGAAAGAAAGAGAAAGCCCAATGAGGTCTTTGCTTTTGATGATTCAACAGAGTTTTCAAGTCCAAGTTGACCTGCTCAACCCCAACTGAGGCCTCCCTTGTCAAAACTATCGAGTGATTGTGTCGTCATGTGAAAGCATCATTCTGCCACCTCTAAATCGAAGTTTCATCATTGGACAATGATTTCTCACCGGCGTTGGATTCGATCTGGGGCTCTGTGAGAATGGAATGATCTTCTATTCATATGATGCCCTGCGTAAAAAGAATCTCCGGAGTTATGTTCAGCCCTGTTGATCCATAAATTCCCAACTCCGTCGTGTTCGTATGGACCTAACTATCAACTTATCTTGATGGGTAAGCATAATCAATTTTCGCATAGAAGGACCGAATGTCTCGATAGCTTGTTGAGCCTCGTCTACTATTCAAAATTTAAGCGAGTTTTGTTTCGTTGCGAACTGAGAATACTTGTCAAAGCATTCTGTATTCTCTAAGCGACTCGGGTGTCGCTGCACTCCGAATCCGGGGCCGGGCTCTCGGCAGCTACTGAGGTTTCCTCCGATATCTTCGGCTTCCGTTCCCACCATACGACGGTGCCAATGCGAGAATAAGCACAGCCCCAAAGCATGCTTTGACTCATATAACGACGCCGAAACAGTCACAACTTTGCTACAGTACCATATTATTGAGCTTGGAGATTCGGGACAGTCTGTGGATTCCCCTGAATGGCAAGTTGAGCAGTAGGTACAGTAACATTAAATGCGTATTTTCATCAGTATCTTGATATAGTTACATATTTTGCACATCTACTATACATCCGGAGGACCAGGCGTTCCATTTGCACCTCGTCTAAATCTACATCTTCTTCTTGACCTTGAGCTTGTTAGATCCAACATTAGCTCGTGCCGCTGTACCCAGCTTATGCACCTGCTTTCGCTTTTCCCACACACCCGAACGCCCCTCAACAACTGCAACGATCTCCTCAGCAATCCTGTATGGGAATTGCTTGCGTCCACTGCCCTTGGAGGGCTTCTTGTTGATCACGTCCAGAATCCACTTGAACGCTACTCGTCGTCGCTGCCTCACACCCAGAGGTACAGGAAGTTCAAGTGCACGACCACCACCACCGGCGCCGGCCACGTTGCGGATTTTGAGAAGAGGGGCCACCGAGTCTACGGCAACTGTGATGTACAGGATTGGGTTGAGAGGGAGATGTGAGGCCGGGGGAGTTCCGGGCAGTAGAGGGTATTTCGGGCTATAGATCGGAGGTGGTGCGGTTCGGAGGTAGTTCATGACAATGGCCATATTCTAATTCATTAATTAGCCAACTGTCTCCAATTTCATTTTGTAGACAGAACTTACTCGTTGAGCAACACTGAGCTTACCATCCTTCATGAGGAGTCGGGTAATTTGCTCCAACACGGGGTGGTAACGTTTCTTCAGATTGAACCCTTGCGGCCACGGCCTCTTGGGGAGACCAAACTTGTGTCCTGGGTTTTGCATCTCTGTGCTGTCCGTGGTCTCCAACTCGGACTTCTCTGCTGCTGCAACGAGAGCTTCAGCCTTCTCGGCCGAAGGAATAGTACCCTCTCGGTAAAGAACATCCTCCTGTGCCGGTGTCAGGCCACCCTCACCACCCCCAACTGAGCTGGTCTGTGTACGGCCACCGAAAAATAATTGTTCAAGTGTCGTATCGTCGATAACTTCGGCACTGGACGTCGAAGAAGTCACCTATATCGCAGCTCATTAGTTGCGAGACATGGAAGCTTCTGAACCAAGTCCTACCTCAACCTCTCCATTTTCTGCTGCCGACATTCCCTCCTTAGATTCTGAGCCAACCTGGGAGTTCTGAGCCTCTTGAGAGTTATCAATTGCCTTCGGAGGATGATTGTTTCCTTCGCTCGAATACCATCTGTTGCGCGGAAGAGACTGGATGAATGGGGCTGGTCGAGGGGCGACAGGTCTCGATCGAATTGCGAGAGCTCTGCATGCGCTCCAAATACTCGTTCTTGGAGACATGACTGAACTCCGCGTTGCTAGCAACGTTCTCGGAGCAGGAATTATAACAGCCTCGTGACTCTTGTGACCCGATTGTTAGTCTAATTCGCGATGCAAAATTCCCAGAATGGCGGATAAGCAATAATCCGAGAGTTGATGCCATGCTTACATAACCCTATCTGAACCTCAATATTAACAACACTCCGGGGAAGCGAGACAAGTATTGAACCATTTGAATTCATAGTGACTCAATATTCTGGAACAGGAGTTATATGTAGTCATGTTTTGTGATTCTAAAGGTTGGAAGTGCTCGTGGCTGAACTTGAGCTCGACTCTTGCGAAACGAAGTTATTGAGCTGCTTGGATTGGACATGAAACCGGCGCAATTCGCTCACAATGACTATGGTATCAACTCAATGATAATCATCCTAGAGTCATTACTGCTTTCTTCTTCTCAAGAATCCAATGATGCAGCTTACTTCAGCTACCCAAGTGATACTAGGTAGGTGTTCATAACACAAGTGATGTCGCACTGAACCTCATTCTTATGCTATGAAGTCCCGAGGCCGGATTGACATTAGAGTAGAAACCGGTCGGCATTTACAAAACTGTCGTTTCATGTGACCTGCTCATGCTGTCCTACCTACGCTGTGACTGACCGTGGCTGTACCGAGGGTGGGGGTACACAACATTGCTTGAGGGTGAACTTCCCTTTCAGGAAGGAACTGTATGTGAGAAAACGACATTGAGAACGATTGGAGCCTCGATGCGTTGACTGTATTGTATAGGAATGCTGCGAGATATGCTGATAGGCCCTGAAATGAACCCCCCTTGACCTCATAGTAAGGAACTTGTTTGGGTATCCCAAGTAAATATTAAGTACTGAACATCTCAAATACTAAAGGACCGAATCAAACTGTATAGTTCTAAAAGTCTCCGTCTGCTGTCATACGTGCTTTTGTAAACCTCCACGTGAGGGCTCATTGGTAGAGACCCTCCGTGTAACCGACTCCGTCAAACACCAAACGAGAACTGTAATAACCGACATATCCTACCGTTTTCCTCAAGTCATACATGGAAACATTCGACTTTCGCCCTCTAACCCAACCCATAAAATACAATCCAAGGTCTTGACCGAGGGGTCAGTTGTTCCAGGCGCTGAGTGCGTGGTGACCACAACCTTCCCCGTTTCGTAAGTTTTGTTACCAAACTCCAGGTGCTTGATTCGAAAGAGGGAAGACCAAAAGGAAATCATAATAACACAACAAAGATAACTCCTTCGTTCATAAATGGCCAGACCACCATTTTCGTAGACGTTAGTGACGCTTGAGTGGGCGAAGCATATGAAAAGGAGTGACCCCACATCGCAAGTCTACCAACCCCATTGCTGGGTGGGAGAACTAGATTCAGACCCAGTCAACCACTTGACGGCACACTCGGCAGCATCTTCTCTGGCATTGTTGAGATTCTTGCCATCATACCAGAAACGAGCTGCGAGAGTCTTGCCATGGACAGTCACTCTGCTAGACCAAGCAGTTCGGCCACCTATAAGAATTTGAGTTCAGGACCAGAACATCTAAATCATCTTGATGACTAGCATACCTCGACGATCTGACACAATTTGAAAAACCGGGGGACGCAACTGAGCATCTCGGCAAACATCTGATCAGTAGTTAGAATTGAAGGCTTGTGCCAAAGGAGGGGTGGAGGTTTCCATACTGTCGAGCTGATCTTGCCAGGGGCCAGTAGGAGTGTGAGGTTGAACCTCCATTGTGATTTTGGATTGTTTATGACAGGACGGAGATTGGTGTAAGATAGTTGGCTAAAGAAACTGATTTTTCTGAGACTAGAGAGTTGGAGTTGAAGAAGGTTGGCGTACCAGGTCTGACTAACCAAAGATCGAATGAAGCCTACTCAAGAACGGATTCGAAGCTGAGACGACTGATGAGAACACCAAGGGAGGAGATGATGAGCTTTATACGTTCAGATGAATCAAGCTGCACGTAGCCACAGTGTCAGAATACGCCGGGTGTGAGGTTTTCCAAGAACAAGGCGGCAACAGGTATCCTGTAGAGTTGCCTAACGCGTGATGTAGTTGAGAGGCCCGAAAGGTAAGACGAAGGCGAACAGACAGGTTGGGCCCAGGATTCCGGGACGATGATGTGGCAGGATAGGATTAGATGCCGTTCAACGGGAAGGGTGACCGAGGCGGCAATGCAGGCTTCAAGTAGACAAGAAAAGCTTGTGTGAGGTTAAGTTGCAGATGATCAAGGATCAGAGGTATGAGGAGACTGGAGTATATGGCATTGCAATGCAAGTAAATTAGTTCAATACAGTCACGGAGAGGACATAGAAAGGAAGGGTCAAGAGAGTAGATTGAGGAGAAATTATAAATAATTAGTATGTAGGATGTGAGCCACTATGTGAGCTTGTGCTTTGACGAGGAGGTGGGAAGGATTGACAAGCGAAGCCTCAAAAAAGAAAGACCTGAAGTTTCTGCTGGCAAGCAACTAACTACGCAGCAAGCGTGCGTACTATTCATCAATACGCACTACTAGACTATGGCCCTGGAGCTTGGTAGATGGGGCTCCAAGTTGGCTTTGCTTTTTCTAGCCCCTGGGAGGAATTGGAAAGGGTGGGATCTGGTACATTGGGTCCAAGTTCACGATGGGTGTGTGCGAAGTCGTTTTGACCTCAGAATGGGCCGTGCCGGCTCCCGTCAGTCTAAGACGGATGGCAACGGTAACGGCAACGGGTGCGGGAGCGGGTAGAAAGGCGAGGTGCTGAAGGTGTTCTACACATAACGAATCGGTCAACTGAGGCCTGACGAGGCTGACCTGGAGACGACAAGCGAAGACCTGTGAATGTGCGCCCAAGGATACGGGGACAACTGGAAATGGAGGCAAAAAAGAAAGGAAAACAAGGGGGCGTGTGGTCTAAGTCATTTTCGAGGGCGTCGATAAGAGGCTCGTGGCCGCGGAGCTCGTTCTGTCTGCTAGGCGCAAATGTGCAAGGGGATAGTCAAGAAATGGGACCAAGATCACAGCGGATATGTACGCGCACATGCATCCTTGTGGTAAATTAAGCTAAGAGCTTGATTTGGAAAGGCTGAAGCACACTGGCACGCTAGACCAGGTAAAAAAAAAAAAAAAAAGAAAAAAGCAAAGGGAAGCAGAGTACAGCGAAGCAAAACTGACTGGATGGTGGACGCCCAACACCAAGGATAATAGAAATACATACAAAATGATTGAGGAGACAAGAAAAGAAAAACCACTATGAGGCTGACCAGCCATGACGAAATAAACACGAAGCAGGAGATGATATCCTGTACTTGGCCTTGGGAATGCGAAAAGAGATGACAAAAGAGAATACTACCTACCAATCGAGTGAGACGCAGAGGATTCTCACTCTGGTCGTGATGATGTGCAGGATGAGGTGTCATGCTTGAGATGATGTCGCACACGAGCATCAAGTGCAGTTTTCGTCTACAGGCACGCGACAGGACCGGGAAAGTGAGTATACGTGACCGTTAGGCGTCTGTTTGAGGAGAAGATTTGGGCAAAGTTGATGAGAGAACAACCCCTGTTGGCATGGCATCCCATCCGGTTGAGATAACATTTAACAAGGCCACGTCAAGCGAAAGCTTCGGCCAGCATCTTGAGGCATAGGCCAGCTGAAGCAGGGCAGCCCAGTCCAGCTCAGGGGATGAAGACAGGCGACCAATGGGCCTTGTTGGCTAAAAGCCGAAATCGTCCAGGATATAATTTGTCGATGGCAAGTCTACCACGAGATCCGTATCAATATGACAGGCAAAGGACAAAGAAAAGACTCGGATCAGGCTGAGGGGCAAGGACAAAGAAGGACTCGTACGTGGCATCCATGGCTTTGACCTTGGACTCTTGTGCTCTCCTCCTTGATGTCTCATCTCGTTTGTCTCTGACAGTTCGTAAAATTTGACATCGTCCTTTTCGTTTCTTTTTTTCTTTGATGGATGTGCTGTGGAGTTGCAAAGATCACCGTCATAGCCTACCTAGCCTGCTATGATCCCGGCTTTCAGCAGCATTTATCCAGCAAGAACCTCCTTGAATGCTCCCCTAGCCAAGGAGCCCGGATCTAGAGCGTGTGGGGGGACCTCGAGTTCTCCCCACCGACCATCCGCTATCAAGGGTGCTCGTGCCTTAGACTAAGCCCCTAAAGCACTAAAGCAAGCCCGATGAGATGGTGACATGTGACCTAGTGTCAAGCTCTACAGCACTAGCTCGTGTCTTCATCAGAGTTCAGAGTTCAGACCTCCATCAAACAAAGCAACAACACGTCCTTCACTCTCGCTAAGATCAATATCATCTCCTTTCTAAATCCCGATCGCTAGTTGGCGTCTCTCGATACATGAACCAACATTTCATCAAGCACCGCTACTGCATCCATAGCTGCAGTCATCAACTACCGGGGTCTTTACGCATTGGTCTGGAGTTCTTTGGCAACACCGGACTGTTCACAGGGAAGTGGGCAAAACCCGGTACCTACATATCATGACATGTGCGGCACTATGCAGTAGCTTGGTGATGATCTTCGTGTACTCTGTATTTTCATGGCCATTGTAAGGGATTAGCCGCGTCTTGCGACTGACATCGGGACACCGGACGATCTACTATTACCTGATCACCGAGCTAGCCACAAACCTCGTTCGCACTGATCTAGTGGTTCCCGACTTTCAGTACTGTTCGGGTGTCATCGAACGTCTCTTGATTCACAAGCTTCTGAGCCAATTATTCGGCCAATATTTACAGAACAAAACTGACGCCTCTGGAAAGCGGAGACAAGTACCGTGGTAGCGCACAGCAACCGCGTCTTCCCACGGGGTCCTTGACTATACATTTTGGTCGAAATGTATTCAAATTGACGAGAAGCAACTTGCAGAAGCCCCAAGCGCTTCAATCTCAAAGTGCCGGAGGACTTATTAGTGGCCGCTGCGTTTTCGACGCTGTTTGACTGCCGAACCCGCTACGTCCACCTTTCTCGGGAAACTGGCCCATTCCAGGCTTGAAGCTGATGACATATCGGACCCCTGCATACAACAGGACCATTAGCCTTTCACTTCAAGCTTTTCCCCGAGTCTATTCAGACTAGCAGATGCTAGCATTCGCTTCAGTCCGTTGCTGGCGTCTTTTATGTCGTATCGTCGACCCCAGGCTTGAGCTTTGTCTGATGCTGACTGCAAGTGTCTGACTTGCTATGTTCGAGGCCTGGCAACACAGATGGGAGCTGTAAAGGACTGGGCCGGTTCACTCATGCAGTAAAGGCACAAACCCGATTGTCTGAGCATTTGCTATACACCTTGGGATAGCATAGTTTTCTCGCTTTGTTTCCACATTGACGCGACAACAAAGCCAAAAGAGTCACGGAGCCTTACAATACCAGTCAAAGCGACGAACGAGCCGTGCCGGTTTTAGTGTACCAGCTGCAGCGGTTCAACCCCACGTCAACATACCCTCATCCCACGCTTCAGATCACCGTAGCAGGAACTGTCGTCAGCTTGGGCACTGACCGGTGTCTCGTCTGTTACTAAATTGAGTATATGTAGACTCAGCGTGGCAGACCGGTCAAAGACTTTGCCGCAATGCAGTGTCTTTAATCCATGTTTGCGATCTCTCAAAGCCTTATGGATCAGTCATGCAGAGCAGGGGAATCGTGATGAGACTACGTACCTTATCCTTGACAGACAGACAAACCTTGCATCAGCTTGTGTGACGAGCTCCTCCTGATCCGGTTATCAGGTACTGGCCGCGCCTATCATGCTGGCCTCACCAACCAACCACTCTCGTGGAATTTCAACGACAGACTCCACAATGAGCTTGCTCTTCACTCACCGGTCGAAATCGTGACGTAGATGGCATGTAAAATGCTACAACGTGACCTCGCATCAAGCCATCCTCTTCCCTCCTTGCCTCCTTGCATGCCGTACAGCACTGCACCTCGCCGTTTTAGACCACTATGCTGCTGCGCGACCTTGTCTTACAACCTGATAATAGCCCTTTCCTTCTCAGCCTTGGCACTATTTTCAGGATGTAGCTATCCTTGATATTGATAAGCAGCCTTCCAAATATCTAGGAGAAGCAAGGTCCGAAGTTGCGAGGTTGAGTGCAGTGTACATATACACAGAGCGAGGTATTTGGCCGAGCTTGGAGACTGATTATTGATTTCGCCGAATAGCCATCACCTACGGTCAACGCTGCGAAACGTCGATTGATACACAAAGCAATTGCATTCGCTTTTGAATAAGTTTCCATCGTCGAAAACCTCGATTGCAGCCACAAGAGGTTGCCTGATGCCCGAGCTACTGCTTCGAATTCACTTATCGGTAGGACAGTCTACATGTATCTCATCCAACACCACCCCGATGATCTTATTACGCAAACTCATGATACATATTGTCCGTGGTGTTGGTGTGCCGGGCGTACAACGTGAAGAAGCGAGAGAATGTTATTGTTGAGACAACGCCGAATTCCCGAGCGAGAGTTCATGCAACTGTTTAACGTTCCGAGATCATGGAGCAGCAACGAATTTGAAAGCTCATAGGCCATTCATTCATTGAGCTGTGTCTCGCATAAATCTTGTTCAAGAAGTAATTCTTTTCTGCTTCCCTACCTATCTACCAGTCTAGAAATAGTGACTTGAGCCTTGGGGGTCTCGAATTCGAAACAAAGCTTGCTAAGACGAAGATAGTACTTCAGTCTCTGATGACACTGATAAACATAACCATCTTCTCCCTTGAATTTAATCCATAGTTGAGCTTCGGGAGATGGTCATTTGATCTATTCAGTGCGCGTGCCGGACGTAAACCGGCGGTTTCGTGGCCCATCTACAAGTGTGGTTATGGTTAATGTTTAGGCTATGAACTCTTTCCGACAACAAAGTACCTAAGTGATTTCATGGCGGTTTCTTGAGTATGAGGAGTCTCGGCAAAGTGACTCGTACCTATATGGTATGATAAGATCATGACTGCAACAAAAGCAGCTTATGATATTTACCCGGAGGATATGGAGGACATCCCTCCGTCCATTGACCTTACGAGCTTGTTTTTTATGGCAAATCGTCGGCTATCAAAATGAAGGGATCAGCTTCTGTACGTAAAAGTCTCCAGACGAGCCATTTACTTGGCTAAAAACAAGGCGGTTTTTGAGTCTAATTCCCATGCTTGCTCCATTGTAACGGTCCATGCTTGGAGATATGGGGAAGTGGTATTATCCCTCGGTCCGACAGTGGCTCCGCATATAAACTCTCGACCCCATATGTCATTCGATTGTTTTGATTCCCCAAACCACCTTATGTGATGGTCATGATGGACTTTGCAGTAGGTCTCTGGAGATATTCAGCCTATTGGCATCTCTTGATCATCATAAACTCTACCAAACAATCAAAGTCTCGATCTAAAACTCTTCGCGAAGAAAGCATAATTCATTAGTGCCATCTGCCAAGCGTCTCTTCTATTGAGCCTACGTCACTAGAAACTCAACACCACGGTTCTCTAGGAAGAAAGACTGTCGATCTCCCCACACAAACTCCGCAAATCTCCGGATTCCCAGGTTCACCCTATTTTTTCAAGGCCTGAAAGTCCAATTCTCAGGTGCTCTTTGACGCCGTGGTATCGCCGAGTTTAGTTCAAGTGAAGCTTCTTGGGCTTCTCATGACGATGTTACCCTTCCCCTCACTATTTGTCGGGGCGACAGAGGTTCGTATGGAACGTTGTGATGGGCATATATAGTTTCAGTGGCTCCACGATTTTGATTTTCGTCTGCATGTAACCGTTGCAGAGTACATCATGAAGTTCTCACTATTCTTGACGGCTGGCTCTCTTGCCTGGGCCAAGCCATCGACTCCAAAGCTTGACTATAACCGCGCTCCCCCAAATCTCAGCACTCTGGCCAATCTGACGATCTACAACACATGGCGTCCTCGAGCTCACGTACTTCCTCCTACTGGACAGATTGGAGATCCTTGCATGCACTACACTGATCCCAAAACTGGACTTTTCCATGTTGGATATCTCCATGAGGGTGCTGCGGGTGCTACGACGGATGATCTCGTGACATATCGAGATCTCAACCCTGGAGGCGCTCCTTTCATTCGGGCTGGAGGTCTAAATGATCCTGTGGCAGTCTTTGACGGATCCGTTATACCCAAGGGCATCAATGGCACGCCTACACTCTTCTACACCTCTGTATCTTACCTCCCCATCCATTGGACCATCAACTACACTCGCGGAAGTGAGACGCAGTCCCTCGCTGTGTCAAAGGACGGAGGCCGTAACTTCACAAAGCTACGACAGGGCCCTGCGATCCCAGCACCTCCTTTTGCTCTCAACGTGACGGCCTTCCGTGATCCCTTCGTTTTCCAGAACGAAGATCTTGACAGCCTTCTGGAAAGTGAGTCAGGAACATGGTACAGCGTCATTTCTGGTGGTGTCCATCAAAAAGGTCCTAGTATGTTCCTCTATCGTCAGCACGACCCGGAGTTTCAGTATTGGGAGTATCTCGGCGAGTGGTGGCATGAGAAGGCCAACACCACATGGGGTGATGGTCTCTGGGCAGGGCGTTACGGTTTCAACTTTGAAGTGGCCAACGTCTTCAGCATCGATGAAAAGGGGTATAACTCTGAGGGTGAGACATTCATCACCTTTGGAGCAGAGTGGCAGGAGAAGCCCATCGTTCCTCAGGTTTCGTCTTTCCGCGACATGTTGTGGGCTGCAGGAAACATATCCCTCGACAACGGAAAGCCAAAGTTTACTCCTTCGATGGTTGGCAAGCTTGACTGGGGACGATCCGCCTACGCAGCAGCTGGCAAATACCTCCCTTCGGACTCAAAGGCATCGTCCAAGAGCGGTGCACCAGATCGATTCATCAGCTACCTCTGGCTTACTGGAGATTACTACGGCGATCTCAAGTATTTCCCTACTCCCCAGCAGAATTGGACTGGGTCTCTTCTCCTCCCCAGAGAGCTCACCGTCGGCAAGATCAGCAATGTCGTCGATAATGAGCTTTCACGTGAAAAAGGATCCTGGCGTGTTGAGAGAAATGAGTCAGGTGTTTTGGAACTTGCTACTCTAAAGCAGGTTATTGCTCGGGAGCCTATGGCTGCATTCACCAAGAAGACGTCTTTTGTTGAACCGGGGCGAAACATTAGCAAGGCTGGATCAACTACATTTGACCGTAACCCGGAGTCCAAGTTTTACGTCCTCAAGAGCTCTATCTCATTCCCCAAATCTGCTCGCGACTCGGACCTCAAGGCTGGTTTCCAGATTTTGGCTTCTGACAAGGAGTCCACCACTATTTACTACCAGTTCTCCAACGAATCCATCATCATCGATCGCAGCAACACTAGTGCTGCAGCCCTTACAACTAGCGACATTGACGCTCGTCCCGAAGCCGGTCGACTCCGTCTTTTTGACGTTCTGGTTGATGACGAGGAGAAGATTGAGACTCTTGACCTTACTATCGTCGTGGATAATGCCATCGTTGAGGTTCATGCCAACGATCGATTTGGAGTAGCTACTTGGGCTCGGTAAGTTGGAACATCCCCTGATATTGTGATATTTGCTAACAAAACTCTAGTTCTTGGTATGCCGATTCGACCGATATTCGCTTCTTCCATAAGGGAAGCGGTGAGGTGTCTTTTAGCAATGTGACGATTTATGAGGGTCTTGCGGATGCTTGGCCCGAGAGAAAGCGATAGGGATATAGTCTCTGGTGTATTATTATGTGCACACTACATTAGACTTTGGACCTCATTCTTGCATTTTTATATGACCCTATGTACATAATCTGGTGTGGTTGAAGTTGCAAGTTGATACCTGAACCTATGTGCCTCTCTGCGAACCAAAGGGATTCGCTTTCCTTTATCTCAGCCTTGATTAGACGATTACATAAAACTTTGGCTTTTTAATCATCAATTAACATACTTCGAAGCCATCTGTGAACTCGCTACGTTTGGGTAAAAGATATTATAGTGAAAATCGTTGTCGATAAATAACTTTGTCAGTGGATGACAATGGTTATATAGTTGTAGAACGATAAGTACCAGGTGAACTATAGTGCCGATGATCCATATAGCGTAACTTTACTCCCAAAGAGGGCATCTTTCTAGAATCAAGGAACAGAAGATCTTCCAGCACATGTGCTAAGTACGGCTAGTGGATGCCCTTGGGTAACTCGGTATATATAATACCGAAGTGCTGTTTGGTACCGTCTGGCGGACAGGAGACCGGGAACTAATGTGGTTTTCGGGGCTTGTATTCCACTGTGTTATCTGATAATGCTTTTCAAAGTCGGTTTTGACATCAAGTACAACTCATCTCCATTAGCGGTTCAGATGTACGATCAGAATATTCATTTCGCACAAACAAAGTCCAATTACTCTATAAACTCATCTAAATATGAACGCGCTCAACAATCATGATTCTTTTTACAGCTTAGATTCCTCGATGCGACGACCAGTCTCATCAAAGTTAATCTTCTTGCCCGAGTTGAGCGACTCTTGGAGTGCGCAACCAATCTTGACAGCCTGGACAGCACCAGTAAGCTTGAATGGTAACTTGTTGTTATCAAGCACAGCAGCTGAAAATTCGTTCGCTTCTGTCACAAAGGCATGCTCGAAGCGGCCATAGTAGTCTCCAGGAATCTGTCGGCGCACACCGGTCGCCTCGTGCATCTCAACAAGATTGCCCACTGGGTTGGCATTGATGGCGAGTTTGCCTTCAGTACCGATGACCTCTGTCATATCGTGCTGACCAGCAGCCATCATGCGCGAAGAGTAGAAGTATGCGACCTTGCCGCCCCAGAACTCGACGATGCCAACACCATTGTCTACATCCTTGTGCTTTCGCAGCTCAGGCTGAACAGCAGTGATGCCAGTAGCAACAACAGACTTGACGATAGAGTCTTGGCCAAAGTACCACAAGGCAAGGTCGATATCGTGGATGTTACAGTCGACAAAGATACCACCACTGAACTCGGCATAGGCAACGAAGAAACCGGACGGGTCAAGTTTATCGCAGGTTTGAGATCGGAAAACGGAGGGACGACCGATGGCACCGCTGTCCATGCGATCAAAGGCATCGCGGTATGAGGCATCGAATCGACGGGAGAAACCACACATGACCTTGAGGTGCGGCTTCTTGGCAGCAGCATCCACAACAGATTGGGACTGTTGAAGAACAAGGGTTAGTTAGAGTTCATAATAAGCTTAATTTGGGGGAAGGGGAAACTAACGATCTCAACGCTGGTACTTAGAGGCTTCTCGCAAAGAACATGCTTATCAGCCTCAATGGCTTGAATGGCCTCTTCAGCATGAGCGGTAGTAACAGTAGCGACTACTACAGCCTGGAGGCCAGGATGCTTCAGCATCTCTTGGTAGTCGTTGTAGATTGTAACACCCTCGAGGTGAACCTTGGCCCAGTCTGCCTCCTTCTGGACAGGAGTAAAGGCTGCGACAAGCTCAGCGCGGGGTGTTCTGTTGTGAAAGTTGAGAGCATGACGAGCACCCATGCGGCCGAGACCAGCAACGGCGACTTGGAGCTTAGGGGAGGCCATTGTGTTGAGAGAAGAAGGACGTTATAGAGAAAAGATTAGGTTAAAGCTGTGTGTCTGTTGGGTTCTCGTAGCAACAATGAGGCTGAAGAGTTAAGAGCTGAGAGATGATGAGCATGAGCGAGCTCTCCTCCCTTATACCTTGAGCTCTCTCGGTAATCTAGGTCAAGAATATTTACACCGATACTCGGAGCTCTGGCGGCATTGCTCGTTGTTTTCTCGAACCTTTCTCAACCCTAACACCACATTCAACTCGATTGGACAAACCCACGTTGCACGAGTACATGGTTTCTGCCAGTGGCTTGGAATAGAAGTCACAAGATCTACATTCTTCCGCTTTTCAGTCAGAATAGTATCATAGCCATTGGCTAGATTGTCAACTTTTCTCATCTTAGACAGACGACGCAGGTTGAAGATGAGTTACTAGTGGAGAATATAAGTCAGATTTCCAAATGGAGCAATTAGCTACGAAGTTTCTATCGGGGCCTCCTACTGGAAATAGACCTGCAGTTCGGAACCCTGACCCCTGAAGACCCCGCAACAGCATGGATCACCTCCGCATTGCGGGTGAGGCTTAACTCTCCGAACCCCTCGCTGACTCAAAGGAAGAAGACGTGATTGGAAAGATTGGCCGAAGGAGGCAACATCTCTTAGATATTCTCGTCATGGAAAATCTCGCCGTGGTTTCCGACTGGGGAATTTCCTATTCCGTTGGTTTGGATTGGTTGGTAAAATATTTCGCTATGTTTACTCGCTGAAATTGTTCGGTTGAACACAACACCACATCAGAAATCTCACGATGATTTTTTTCAGTAGAATCTTCCCATCAGGTTATTATAAATCATATGGTATAAATGGACCTGCTTATACTTCTCTGCAAATTATTCTCTCAGTCTCTCCCCACGTCTTCTCAACGTGCTTCTTGCAACTCGTTGATGATCCATTCAACAGTCAGAGTCGCAGTATACCTGACACCGCTCATCATCCTTGGAACCCCTGTCCATTTCTTAAGCAAAAAATCATACGAGGTAGATAAAATGAAGGTATTTTCCCAAAATGCAGTCTTGCTCGCATACCTTCACTTAGAGTGTGTGCATCGCGAGCACCAGTCCTTGGGTTCCGTGTGTTTTAGAGCATCATAGGATAATTTTAGTCTACCTTGGGCTAACTTGTGAGATCTCATCATAACTTCCCTAAATACAGCCTGGATTCTGTAGAAGATCCGTTCGGCGACTTGCGAAGTTCTTCAGAATACCAATAGGCTCCCCTGGTTAGTTCTTCAAAGTATTTAGCGCTTATTGGCCAATTTATAAGGAGAGATTTGGAGACCCTTGGTACTGACAGATATACGATTGCCTTATTTAGGTGTCCTATCTACTAACGTCGAATCGTATATGAACCCAGCAGACCGCCTCTGAAGAACTTCTGTGTAATTGTAACCCTCAAGCCCCAAAAGGGTGCCAATACAAACATCTTTCACATACTTCCAGCCGCTTACTAAGCCTTGGCGACCTCATCAGAGGCAGCAGATTTCCTGAGAAGCTTCATTTCTTTCTGGATTTCTCGTGCTCGTTGAACACCGAAGCCGTGCTCGAAAATCTCTCGAATATCCTCAAGAGTCATGCCCTTGACTTCAGGGTAACAGAAGTAGATGCAAACCCAGCCGAGAATGCAGATGGCAGCGTAGAATCCGAAAGCACCAGAGGGGGTAGTATTCTCCATCTGAGTAAGAAATGTTGAAGACACAATGATATTGGATCCCCAGCAGGTCATGGTGAGCATCATAGTTCCCATAGCTCGAACTTCCATGGGGAAGAACTCGCTTGAAAGCCAAGCCGTGTTGCCGATACCAGAAGAGTAGAAACCTACAAAGATCACCATGCTGACGAGGACCACAATAGCAGGCCAACCAATCTTGGCGTCTGATGCCAGAGAGAGATCATGGTTGATAGGGATATACTTAAAACACACAGCAGCAACTATGAGAGCGATACCCATGAAAGGAACTGTGCAGATTAAAATCCTTCGGCGGCCAGCACGGTCAACAAGCATGAGGTTGACCCAGGTGAAAATGAAGTTGGTGCCAGCAATTACTGTTCCCACAGCTACGGGGTTAGAAAACCCAACGAGGGAGAACAGTAGAGGAGAATAGTACATGAGAGAGTTGAAGCCGCTGAGTTGAGAGATAGCCATGAGTCCGCAGGCAGAGACGAGAGTTCGGAAGTTTGCGGGGTTGACATAGAGCTGCTTGAACACCCACCACTGAGACTTGCCAGCATTAAGAGACTTGGCCTCGTTGACGTGGTGTGTGATATGGCGAATCTTGTCCTGGACCTGTGCTTCGGTACCATTGGGAAAGATACGCCTGATGACTGCGGCCGCCTCTTCAGCCTTTCCGTGGTAGATGAGCTGACGAGGAGATTCGGGACAGAAAGGGAGAAGAGCGGCAAGTACGATAGCAGGGATGGCACCACCGCCTACCATGTATCGCCAGCCAGATGAAACGTGTGCGAATGCGGCTCCAATGCCGTAGGAGACAAGCTGACCACCAGTGATAGACATATTATCAAGACCGATCATACGACCTCGATACTTGCCAGGGCTCACTTCAGCAATATATAAAGGTACGACCATTGCAGCACTCCCCACCCCCAGACCGACGATGAGGCGGCCAACAGTCATCTGAGCGACTGAGAAAGAAGCGGCCTGGATGACGGCACCGACAGTGAAGAGGACACAGCCCACATAGATAGCAACCTTTCGCCCGTAACGATCAGCAGAACATCCTGCAAAGATGGCACCCAGAAAGGCACCACCGGAGGTGATCGAGGTGATGAGTTCTTTCTCCTGAGACGTAAGAGTCTTGCCGAGGTCTTGGTGGATGTAGATCTATATCCCACGTTAGTACCCGAGGTAGCAAATTAAAGGAAAAAGATAGAAAGAACATACAAGCACAGCGGATATGATTCCAGTATCATAACCAAACAGCATGCCACCGATGGCAGCAGTGATACTGACAAGCCAGGAAAACTTGCCGGTCTTGGTCTGCTCGATGGAGTCGAGATCATCGATGTTGATTTCGTGAATGGAATTTGGGGAACCCGTATCCTCGAGATGCTCGAGATGTTCCTTGGTATCTGCCTTGGACATGATGCCGGTTGGGGTTGTGGTAGTGTGAAGCTGATATTGGGGTTGTTCAACACAGTCTGTCGGAAGAGGTTCAGGAGTTTTGAAGAAGCTTCAAAATCTCTATGAAGAGAGTACCGAAGAAACGAAAGCGGGTTCAAAGAGTTACTGGATCTCTTTTTGAGATGTCCAGAGAGGTTTGAAGAATGAGAAGATGGAGTTCGATGCTGATGTGGAAAGAAGCGATTCAGCTGATGTTCGAAGGTCTTATATATTAAACATCCCAGGTGAAGCACACCACCAAACCAGGATTCGGGCTTGATACTCCTTGCTACTCCAGAACTTGATTATCTGTAGCTGATGTTAATGAGGGGATGAATATTTCCCTTTCAGAAAAACGTGGAATGACTAGCATGGTCAGAGTCTCAACGCCCTGACGCCTTGCCCCCGGATTACACTAACGAGCGGCATTTAGACCAGAATCTCCAAGGCCGAGGACTCAATTGATTGGATGAGCTGGGATTCTAGACCATGCTAGGCTCGTTTACTCCGGATGTGCGTCAGTCCCCAGACAGATTACCGACTGAAGCCATCACCATCCCCATGGGGAAGCCATAGTGGCGAGAGCGGCCTGTTCTCCAGTGGGCTTCAGGGGGTCTCATGTTAAAGTTCGGGGCTAATTTGATTCAGCTGGACGCTGATTTGTCCGTCGATTAGTGCCCACTCATGGCGGACTAACTTGCCCTTTTTTACCAAGAAAGGCAACTGCTTTTTTCATCAACTCTGGGTCATATTCCTTCTTTGCTCCATCCCTCAATTCTCCTCCTCATCATCAAAAGTTTGGTTGGAACGGGCCGTCTTTTCGTTAATGATACCCGCTGTCCCCTGGTAACAGTTGCCTTATGAATCATGCAAGAGTCTCTATCAACGACAACTAAGACAAGGCCTCTCAACCCCTGTATGGTAAGTCGCCCCGCTACGATAGCCCCTAAAGGCTGTAAACTGATAGATACCGTTTCCAAGGTCTGTAAGCAAAGGTGAGTCTCTATCTCGTTAACATAGGAAATATTACCCGTTTTTGATTGCTCCGTTGAGTCCTCTGGAGCAATATGTTCTGACTATCAACTTCTGATAGACATCTCAAGTGTAAGTTACATTAACTTTACCAACGGTGGTGGCTTGTATTGCACCTCACCTTTCCAACAATGGAAACTAATCCGAAAAAACAGGTGACAACGATAAACCTTCTTGTGCCAGTTGTCGAAAGAGCGATATTGAGTGCGTTCGAGGTTTCAGTGTGAGATTTCGTCATGGTCTGAATCCGAGGTATATTGCCCTTTCTGTCATTGACTTCTGTTACTAACCACGCGAAGTATACGATCTGGTAAGGCTGTTGAAGCCAAGAATAGAGACTACAATTTCTCCCAAGATCAACCATGGGTCAAGACAACCAGAGCTCTAAGTTTTGTTGATGAGACTCCAGACATCATTAACATCCATGATTCGAACAACCTGGACACATTGGAAAACTTCGACATTGGACGTGATATCGACAATGCCAGCAATCAATCTTCACCGGCCCTTGCTTCTCTACAAACAATTCGATCAAATGATTCAACGTCTTATTCCGATCAGGACAGATCCAACTCAACTTCAGTCTTTGGGATCTCTTCTTCCAATATAGATCAGGAGCGCCCTTCAAAGAAACGAGCATTAAGTCCATCTTCAAGTGGGAATTGGAAGAACACCTCTCGATCGGACCCTAGCGATGCTATCTCACCCAGCCAGAAGTCTGATACCATAGGACCTTTCGCATCGTTTTCGGGACCTCACACTATCGAATCTCCTATCCTTAGTAGTGATATTGTTTTGGGTGTTGGAAGTCCTCAAGTTGCCGCGGCGCTCGCGAGCTCTCGTGGAACAGACCTTCCAATTCCAGTGGACAATGTTGCCGAAGCCATCTCAGGTATTTACTTGGATACGCCGAGATGGCCACTGGAAGATCCACAAGAGGCGATGTTATTTTACAACTTCATCCACGTCTTGGCACCGCTCTTCGATTTGTGTGACAGCGAGCGACATTTCGCTACGATTGTCCCGCGTCGAGCAGTCATATGTCCTCCACTT